CCGCCTGCGCTTCCCGGCTGTCGGATGTGAGGCGATGCGGGTGTCTCCGCCTGCGCTTCCCGGCCATCGGATGTGAGGCGATGCGGGTGTCTCCGCCTGCGCTTCCCGGCCATCGGATGTGAGGCGATGCGGGTGTCTCCGCCTGCGCTTCCCGGCCACCGGATACGAGGCATTGCAGGCGTCTTGGCCAACGAATCTAACTGGATTGCTTCAGGTTTGTTTTTGACTGTATTTTTATACTGTATAGATGAGACCTTTGTTAAAAAAGCAGTCTGGAGATACCTTCTCCCAGTCCGTAGCCTTGAAGCTGTGTATACTCTCCTCTTACGGGTGTGGTACAGGGGATGGGTCTACAGACTCTGCCCAGCAGGTTTGCTCCTAAAGGCCCTGCAGTTTTGTTTCCACCTGTGGTGACTCTGATGAGCTGCTCTATGAGACGTGGGCTCAGGGCTTTGCTCCAGCACCATCTGATGAGTGGGTTTCTGCCTGTCGAAGCCCCGCTGGTCTTACTTGTGTGAACTACTTCTGAGCCCTCTCTTCTGCTCCAGACATGTCTCTGCTGTCACCACATTGTTGATTTCTGTGGCTGCAGAGTAAGCTCCAAAGCCAGGAAGAGTGATTTCTCCCATGCCGTGCTTCCAGTACAAAAACATTTCAGTCAGCCGGGCACGGTGGCTCAAGCCTGTAATCCCAGCACTTTGGGAGGCCGAGGCGGGTGGATCACGAGGTCAACAGATCAAGACCATCCTGGTCAACATGGTAAAACCCCGTCTCTACTAAAAATTACAAAAAATTAGCTGGGCACAGTGGCGCGTGCCTGTAATCCTGGCTACTCGGGAGGCTGAGGCAGGAGAACTACCTGAAACCAGGAGGCAGAGGTTGCGCTGAGCTGAGATTGCGCCATTGCACTCCAGCCTGGGTAACAAGAGCGAAACTCCGTCTCAAAAAAAAAAAAAAAACAACATTTCAGGCATTCTAGTTCATCTGCCTTTCAAATACATTGTACAATAAGCTCATCTGTATCTATGAAATCCCTTCTGAGCTGTTGGCAGGAACTGTGCCAACAGATGCGCACAGAACAGACACCTCACTTGGGGGCCTCCAGGCTGTGACTGTGGCATCAGTCCTGTATCCACCTCTCCTCTGGCAGGTCATAATCACAGTATCCGTCTCGTATCCACCTCTCCTCTGGAGGGCCATGATCACGGCGTTGGTCCTGTATCCACCTCTCCTCTGGTGGGCCATGATTGCAGCGTCCATCCTGTATCCGCCTCTCCTCTGGCAGGTCATGATCACGGCGTCGGTCCTGTATCCACCTCTTCTCTGGTGGGCCATGATCGCGGCATCCGTCCTGTATCCACCTCTCCTCTGATGGGCTGTGATCATGGCGTCCGTCCTGTATCCACCTCTCCTCTGGCGGGCCGTGATCACGGCATCCGTCCTGTATCCACCTCTCCTCTGGCAGGTTACGATCACGGCATCCGTCCTGTATCCACCTCTCCTCTGGCAGGTCATGATCATGGCGTCCGTCCTGTATCCACCTCTCCTCTGGCAGGTTATGATCACGGCGTCCGTCCTGTATCCACCTCTCCTCTGGCAGGTTACGATCACGGCATCCGTCCTGTATCCACCTCTCCTCTGGCAGGTCATGATCATGGCGTCCGTCCTGTATCCACCTCTCCTCTGGCAGGTTATGATCACGGCGTCCGTCCTGTATCCACCTCTCCTCTGGTGGGCCGTGATCACGGCGTCCATCCTGTATCCACCTCTCCTCTGGAGGGCCGTGATCACGGCATCCGTCCTGTATCCACCTCTCCTCTGGCGGGTCATGATCATGGCGTCCATCCTGTATCCACCTCTCCTCTGGCAGGTCATGATCGTGGCGTCCGTCCTGTATCCACCTCTCCTCTGGCAGGTTATGATCACGGCGTCCGTCCTGTATCCACCTCTCCTCTGGCAGGTTATGATCACGGCGTCCGTCCTGTATCCACCTCTCCTCTGGCAGGTTATGATCACGGCGTCCGTCCTGTATCCACCTCTCCTCTGATGGGCTGTGATCACGGCGTCCATCCTGTATCCACCTCTCCTTTGGAGGGCCATGATCACTGCGTCCGTCCTGTATCCACCTCTCCTCTGGAGGGCCGTGATGGCGGCGTCCGTCCTGTATCCACCTCTCCTTTGGAGGGCCGTGATCACTGCGTCCATCCTGTATCCACCTCTCCTTTGGAGGGCCGTGATCACTGCGTCCATCCTGTATCCACCTCTCCTTTGGAGGGCCGTGATCACTGCGTCCGTCCTGTATCCACCTCTCCTCTGGAGGGCCGTGATCGCGGCGTCCGTCCTGTATCCACCTCTCCTCTGGAGGGCCGTGATCGCGGCGTCCGTCCTGTATCCACCTCTCCTCTGGAGGGCCGTGATCATGGCGTCTGTCCTGTATCCACCTCTCCTCTGGAGGGCCGTGATCGCGGCGTCCGTCCTGTATCCACCTCTCCTCTGGAGGGCCGTGATCACGGCGTCCATCCTGTATCCACCTCTCCTCTGGAGGGCCATGATCACGGCGTCCATCCTGTATCCACCTCTCCTCTGGAGGGCCGTGATCACGGCATCCGTCCTGTATCCACCTCTCCTCTGGAGGGCCATGATCGCGGCGTCCATCCTGTATCCACCTCTCCTTTGGAGGGCCGTGATCATGGCGTCCGTCCTGTATCCACCTCTCCTCTGGAGGGCTGTGATGGCGGCGTCCATCCTGTATCCACCTCTCCTTTGGAGGGCCGTGATCGCGGCGTCCGTCCTGTATCCACCTCTCCTTTGGAGGGCCGTGATCACGGTGTCCGTCCTGTATCCACCTCTCCTCTGGAGGGCCGTGATTGCGGCATCCATCCTGTATCCACCTCTCCTCTGGTAGGTCGTGATCATGGCGTCGGTCCTGTATCCACCTCTCCTCTGGAGGGCCGTGATCGCGGCGTCCATCCTGTATCCACCTCTCCTTTGGAGGGCCGTGATCACTGCGTCCGTCCTGTATCCACCTCTCCTCTGGTAGGTCGTGATCATGGCGTCAGTCCTGTATCCACCTCTCCTCTGGCAGGTCATGATCATGGCGTCGGTCCTGTATCCACCTCTCCTCTGGCAGGTCATGATCATGGCGTCCGTCCTGTATCCACCTCTCCTCTGGTAGGTCGTGATCATGGTGTCGGTCCTGTATCCACCTCTCCTCTGGCCTCTTTCACCATGGCTGATTTTAAAGCTCCACCACAGAAATCCTAGACACATCTGGTCAGATTTATACCGAAATGTTTATTTTTCTAAAAAAGGTGATTCTAAATGGTATTGTTTTGGTTTCCTCGTGGCAGCTAAACAGAAATACGACAGATTTTCGTCTGCCGATCTTGTATCCTGCGACCTTACTGAACTCGCAGTTCTGACGGACCTTTGCAGATCCCTTGAGATTTCCTGCACAGATGATTCAGGCGTCTGCAGACAGGAGCAATTTTATTTTTCCCTTTGAAGCCTGTGTAACTTTCACTTTCTTTTCTTGCCAAATGGCAGCATGCGGGACTTCTGGCAAGTACAAGTGGAGAGAAGACACTCCTGCCTTGTTCTCGATTTTAGGGGGATGGTTAAAAATGATACTGGCTTGGCCAGGCACGCAGTGGCTCATGCCTGTAATCCCAGCACTTTGGGAGGCCAAGCTGGGTAGATCTCTTAAGGTCAGGAGTTTGAGACCAGCCTAGGCAACACAGTGAAATCCCATCTCTACAAGAATACAAAAATGAGCTGGGCGCCTGTAGTCCCAGCTACTGGGAGGCTGAGGCAAGAGAATCGCTTGAACTTGGGAGGCAGCAGTTGCAGTGAACCAAGATAGTGCCACTGTACTCCACTCTCGGCAACAGAGTGAGACTCTGTCTCAGGAAAAAAAAAAGAGAGAGATGGTGGCTGCAGGTTTCTTGTTTTGGAGACAGGGTCTTGCTCTGCTGTCCAGGCTAAAGTGCAGTGATGTGATCACAGCTCCTGGGCCCACGTGATCCAAGTGATCCTCCCACCTCAGCTTTCCAAGCAGCTGGGACCACAGGTGCGGACCGCCACACCCAGCGAGTTCTTACGGGGCCTATATTGCCAAGGGTGGTTTCAAACTCCTGGGTTCAGGAGATCCTCCCACGTCGGCCTCCCACAGCACTGGGTTCCAGGTGTGAGCCACTGTGCCCGGCCGGCTGTGGGCCTCCAGACACGCTTGTCACCACTTGCTGGCATCCGGCTCTGACTGCGTCATCATAAGAAGGTTCTGAATTTTGTCAAAGGCCGTTCCTGCACTGTTGAAGTGATCACAGCACTACTCAGCCGGTTCATATGGTATAGGGTTGGTGCAAAACTAATTGTGGTTTTACCGTGGAAAGTAATGGCAAAAACCGCAATTACCTCTGCAGGAGCCTAAATAGACGGCTAACCAATTCCGAAATGTCAGCCTTGTACTGCTGGAATAAATCCTACTTGATCTTGGTGTAGAATTCTTTTCATATACGGATAAGTTCTATTGGCTCAGGTTTTGTTGAGGATCTGTGTGTATTCATGGGGAATAAGGGCCCACCGTTCCCCTCCTCTGCTCCCCCCGCTCCCCTCCTCGGCCCCCCACTTCCCTCCTCAGCCCACCGCTCCCCTCCTTGTTCCCCTGCTCCCTTCCTCGGCCCCCCCTGCTCCCCTTCTCAGCAACCCTGCTCCCCTCCTCGGCACCCCCCCGACCCTGCTCCCCTCCTCGGCCACCCCCCCCGCTCCCCTCCTCGGCCACCCCCCCCCCGGCTCCCCTCCTTGGCCACCCCCCCCCCGCTCCCCTCCTCAGCCCACTGCTCCCCTCCTCGGCCCCCACCGCTCCCCTCCTCGGCCCACTGCTCCCCTCCTCGGCACCCCTGCTCTCCTCCTCGGCCCGCCGCTCCCTTCCTTGGCCCACCATTCCCCTGGTACTGTTTCTGCCTGATTTTGGTATCAGGGTGACAGTACTAGCTTCGTAAAATCGATTAGAACGTGTTCCCTCTCTTCTACTTCTTGCGAGAGTGTATGGAATCGGCATTCTTTAAACATTTGGTGAAATTCTCCAATGGCTCCAGGTGGGTCTGGAGGTTTCCTTTTTAGGGAAGTTTTTAACTATGAATTCATTTTCTTTGCATTTATAGAATTTTTCAAAGGATCTACCTGATACTGGGTAAGTTTTGGCAGTCACTGCCAAATTGGAGGAATTAGGCAATTTCAGTGGTCAAGCTCGCAGCACAGTGGTGCCCGCACCCGTGACCCTCTCAGAGGCTGTGGGGTCCTCCGTATCGATGACCTGGTCACTCTTCCTGCAGTCCCAGGAGAGGGCTGCGGGCTTCCGGCCTCTGTCTCTGAGGCTCCCCAGCACTGCCTGTGGCTCCGAGTTCTTGCTTTCCTTCTGCTTGCTGTGGGCTTATTCTGCTCCTTTTCTCCCCTGCAGATGTCTGTGTAGAGAGCTCAGGTCACTCCTGGGCACTCTGCCTTTTCCACAGCAGGTGCCCAAGACTGGGGGTGTCTCAGCACAGTCTGCCAGGGCCCTGGGCCTTCCTAGGCTGCATCTGGATTTTCGCTCAGCTCCACGAATCTTTCCCTCGAGACCTGCTCTATGGCCCAGGTGTCGTTGGAAAGTGTGCTGTTTTGTTTCCAAGTGTGAAGACTCTTCAGTTCTATTTCACCATGGTCAGAGAGCACGCTGCAGAATCCGGCTTCTCTGAGGACAAGGCTGCATGAAGAGGTCTGTGCCTGCAGCTGCTGGGCCCCACTGGCTGGTGCCTCCGCCTTCCTTGTCCTCACTGCCTTCCATACGCTGCTTCAGCACGTGCAGGGACAGCAGTGCTGATGTCACTGGCTAGGATTTGGGTTTGCCTATTTTTTCCATCAGTTGTATCAGCTGTGTTTGTTCAGAATTCCTGTCTTCTCAGAAGGCAGGATGGTCTCAGGCCACCCACCGAGCCAGTGGGCGGAGGGCTGGGGCTGCGTCCAGGACACAGATGGCGGGTGGGGGTCCCTGGGAATCCACTCCTTCTGCCCCATTACTACCACCCAGGGCAGGTCTCCTCCCGAGGGCACGGCCCCCGTAGCCCCACCGAACTCCCAGACAACACAACACAGAGGCCACAAAGGGAAGGAAAATACACAACGACCCAGTCACCCTCTCATGGATGTCCTCAAAAAGACACAATGCATCCCCAAACCATCGAAACATAAAAAGAACATTCAAAGAATGAAAACACTCCTGGGACTTGATGATGGAGCAGAAGGCACCTCAGGTACAAGCTCACAAGAGCAGAGCGGGAGGACTCGAGGGCAGCCCCGGAGATCCGACGCCAACGCCCGCTTGTGGGAATGGGAGACCCTTGGGGACAGACAGGAGAGACAACGGGAGAGGGAAACACTCCTAGAGCTGAGAAGCTGAGGTGCCCGACGTGGGGCTGCATGCTGGAGTGTCCGGGAGTCACTGGCACCAACATACATCCCAAGGTGGAGCCACTTCCCACCCAGGATTCCACCCGATGGCCAGACAGCGAGTAGACAGAGGCACCTTTAGACGACCATCACCCCGCCACCAATGCTGCTTCTGAGAAGCCACAGGGACCCAGGGGGACACGTCCCAGAAGTGAACCCAGAGACCTGGGAGCGTCAGGTCAGAGGAGACGCGAAGCCACAGCCTCCCGGCCAGGCCTGAGGCAGACACGGGGCCGGAGAGGGTGGGGCTTGGTTCCTGTGGCCAAAGGCCAGCGTGTTCTGAGCATGGGCTCTGAGGGCCGAGCAGAGCCCAGCCATACCCCACTTCCACACGGAGGTCCCGCTTCCCAGATGGCCCCCACAGCCCGAGGGCAGGATAGATCACACACCAGGTGCCGGTACAGGCTGGCAGCAGCGCCAGTTTCAGCCACACCTGCTTTTAGCTGGTTAGCAGACAGCTGCCTGGAACAGGTGCAGACATGCTGTCTCCAGGGGTCACTGTGCTCTGGGCTCAGGGGTCTTGTGAAGAGAGGCAGACTTCACTTTGGGCAGCTCAGAGTCACAAAGACAAGAATAAACCTCCTACAAGAAAACATCTTCCACACCCTGGACGTGCCCTCCATGTTACCTTGGAGGCCGGAGCTGAGGTCACCAAGGTCGGCAAATGGGTCCAGGTTCTGAGACTTGGTCCAGCTGGCCTGAGGTCCACAAGGGGCTGGCTGACCTCCAGTGAAGAGGGGACCTGGAGAAGGAGCACAGCGAGTTAGAACAAGCACCACCTGAAGTGAAACACACCCTCCTGGGACCTCCAATTGTGCCTCCTTCGGACATGATAGTCACGAACCTGCCTGAGAGTTGGCACCTGCCAAACCTGCGTGCACATGACCAGCCAGGACCAAGCTGACACAGAGGACGCTGCCTCCACACCCCACACTGCTCCTCGGGACCAGCCAGGACCAAGATGCACGCAGAGGACGCTGCCTCCACAGCCCACACTGCTCCTCGGGACCAGCCAGGACCAAGATGCACGCAGAGGACACTGCCTCCACACCCCACACTGCTCCTCGGGACCAGCCAGGACCAAGATGCACGCAGAGGACACTGCCTCCACACCTGACACTGCTCCTCGGGGAACAGCTTCACAATTCACACCCGGAACCAGAAGACGTTCGCACCATTATGAGTCTGCAGTGCCACTTCCTGGAATCTATCTCGAATGTGAATGTTCTTCATGATACTCTTTATAACAGCACAAATTTGAGAATGTTCTAAGTAGAAAATCATAAAATACAGATAGGGCAACATAGACTCTGTCTCTACCAAAAATAAAGTCAGCCAGGCATGCTGGCACATGCATGTGGTCCCAGCTGCTCGGGGGGCTGAGCCCAGGGGTTCACAGCAGCAGTGAGCCAAGACGGCACCACTGTACTCAGCCACGGTGACAGAACAAGACTCTGTCTCAAGGAAAAAACCAAACGTCGTACAGCGGCTTGGTAGTGTGCTGTGCAGGCATGAAAACCAGGCGCTACAAGTATAAAGAGCCCTCATGGACCTACCAGAGGAAAAAGGCGAATTCCTGAGGCCAACAAACGAGTAAACAACATGACACGAGTCTCAGAAAATTCACAAAAGCAAAACCGTGCGAAGTCGAGTCAGCCTCATTCACAAGAAAGTTAACTGGAAAACGTCGTCACTGCTCTCATCCAACCTGAGAATCTGCAGACGGGAGCTGGCCCTGGGCAGAGACACCCAGAAGTGCCCTTGAGGGGACGCACGCCAAGCCCCCAGCCCTTGCCTGTGCCCCCGCCTGTGCCTCCCGGCGCTCCGCAGGCAGTTTCCACCCGCCCAGGGCTGTGGCAACTTGGCATCCAGCACACCTACCGGCCACTCGCCCATGACACGCACACTCTTTGGGTCCCCGTGCTGCATCTGGGAATTCTAATGATACTTCAAACTTCTTCATGATTCTGTTTTGGTGATCTGTGTTGAGTGAGCTGATGGCACTACTCTTAATTGCTTTGGGTGCCATGAACCGTGCCCATCCATATAAGATGGTGAGCTTAACTGATAATGCTCCACAGCCCAGCCACTCCCTTGTCCCCTCCTTCTCAAGCCTCCCCATTCCCCGAGATACAACCATATTGAAATTAGGCCCATTCAAAGGCTACAATGGCCTATAAGCATTCAGGTGAACGCAAGAGTTGCCAGTGTCTCACTTGAAATCAAAAGCGAGGAGCTTAGTGAGGGAGGCACCTGGAAAGCAGGGGGAGGCCGAGCACGGCAACTCAGGCCTGTGCTCCCAGCACGCAGGGAGGCTGAGGCAGGAGGGTGCTTGAAGCCACAAGTTCAAGACCAGCGTGGACAACACAGCAAGACCCCATCTCTACAAAAAATAAATTTAAAAAAATTAGTTGGGCATGGTGGTGCATGCTTGTGGTCCAGCCTCAGCTACCTGGGAGGCTGAGGTGGGAGGATCCCTTGAACCCAGGAGGTTGAGGCTGCAGTGATCCATGATGGCACCACTGCACTCCAGCCAGGGCAACAGCAGGACCCTGTCTCTAAAAAAAGGAAGGCGGGATAAGCTAAAAGCTAGGCCTTTCGCACCAGCAAGCCACGTTGTGAATGCAAAGAAAAAATTCTTGAAGGAAATTAAAATGACACTCCAGTGAAATCACAAACGATAAGGAAGCAAAACAGCCCCACCACTGACTGACCAGCCACAACATTCCCTGAAGCCAAACCCTAGCGCACAGCCAGGTTTCAACTCTTTCCATTCTATGGAGGCAGAAAGAGGCGAGGAAGCAGCGGAAGAAAAGTGAAGCCAGCGAGGCTGAGGCTGAAGGAAAGACACTCTCCGCAGCGTGACAGTGCAAGTCATCCACTGAGGTCACTGATGAAGCCAGGCTCACCGCAGATGACACAGCCTGGTGTGGGAAGATGGCCTTTAGGACTTTCACGGCTAGAGGGGACAAGTCAATGCTGGCTTTGAGGCTTCAGAGGACGGGCTGCCTCTCTTTTGAGGGGCTAATGGAGCTGATGGCTTTAAATGAAGACAGTGCTCACTCTCCGTTCAAAAACCCTAGGGCCCCCTCTTTTTATTGAGACAGAGTCTTACTGTCGCCAGGGTGGAGTGTAGTGGCACGACCTTAGCTCACTGCAACCTCCACCTCCTGGGTTCAAGTGATTCTCCTGCCTCAGCCTCCCAAGTAGCCAGGACTATAGGCACACGCCACCACGTCCAGCTAATTTTTGTATTTTTAGTAGAGACGGGGTTTCACCATGTTGACCAGGCTGGTCTTGAACTCCTGACCTCAGGTGATCTGCCCTCCTTGGCCTCCCAAAGTGCTGGGATTACAGGCATGAGCCACTGCACCTGGCCAAGAATGGCTCTAAATCAACTCAACTTGTGCCGTAGAAATGGCGCAGCAAAGCCTGTATGGCAGCCATCTGTGCATGGCATGGTATGTGGAATATTCTAAGCCCACTGTTGAGATCTACAGCTCAGAAAAGATTCCTTTAAAATATTAACTGTTTGCTGACTATACTGACAATGCTCAGAGCCTGGTCACCCAAAAGCTCTGAGGGAGACGCACATGGAGAGTCACGCCGTTTTCGGGCCTGTAACACCATTTCGAGTGTGCAGCCCACGGACCAAGGGGTCGGGTCGGCTTCCGAGTCTCACTATTGAAGAAACACGCTTCTAAGGCTATAGCGGCCACAGACACCGATTCCCATGCTGGCTCTGGGCAGAGTTCACTGAAAACCTTCTGGAAAGGATTCAGCATTCTACACGCCGTCAACAACATTAATGATTCACGGGAGAAGGTTAAAACAGCAACATGAGCAGGAGTTTGGAAGAAGCTGATCTCAACCCTCATGGGTGCCTCTGAGGAGCTGAAGACGTCAGTGGAGGAAGTCACTGCGGATGTGGTGGAAACAGCAAGAGAACTAGAATTAGGAGAGGAGCCTGAAGATGGGACCGAATTGCTGCAATCTCAGGAAGAAACCTGAACAGATGAGCCAAGAAAGTCGTTTACTGAGATGGAATCCAGGCCTGGAGAAGACGCTGGAACACTGTGAAATGAAGCCAAGGGTTTAGAACACTCCATAGACTTAGTTGATAAAGCAGCGGCCGGGTTTGAGGATTAAAAAGCTCGATGCGGGTACAATGCTATCAAGAGCACTGCAGCCACAGGAAGCGTTTCTGACAGTCAATCCACGCTGCAAACGCCATTGTCTCATTTTCGGAAATGGCCACGGCCCTCTCAGCCTTCAGGAATCACCACTCTGATCAGTCAGCAGCTGTCCACATCAACGCAAGACCCCACCAGCAAAAGATTAGGATCATTAGCATTTTTCAGCAATGAAGTATTTTTCTTTTCTTTTTTTTCTGAGATGGAGTTTCGCTCTTGTTGCCCGGGCTGGAGTGCAATGGCACAATCTTGGCTCACCGCAACCTCCGCCTCCCAGGTTCAAGCAATTCTCTTGCCTCAGCCTCCCAAGTAGCTGAGATTACAAGTATATGCCATCACGCCCAGCTAATTTTGTATTTTTAGTAGACATGGGGTTTCTCCATGTTGGTCAGGCTGGTCTTGAGCTCCGGACCTCAGGTGATCCGCCAGCCTCAGCCTCCCAAAGTGCTGAATTACAGGCGTGAGCTACCTTGCCTGGCCAGCAATTAAGTATCTCTAAATCAAGGTAGCTACATTTTTTTTTCCAGACATAATGCTACTGCACACTTAAGAGACTACAATATAATGTAAATATAACTTTTTGTTTTTTGAGATGGAATCTTGCTCTGCCACCAGGCTGGAGTGCAGTGGCGCAACCTTGGCTCACTGCAACCTTCGCCCCCTGGGTTCAAGCGATTCTTCCTCCTCAGCCTCCCAAGTAGCTGGGACCACAGGCACGTGCTACCACACCTGGCTAATTTTTTTGTATTTTTAGTAGAGACAGGGTTTCACCGTGTTGGCCACAATGGTCTCGATCTCTTGACCTTGTGATCCGCTCGCCTCAGCCTCCCGAAGTGCTGGGATTACAGGCGTGAGCCACCGCGCCCAGCCAGTAAATATAACTTTTAGCTGGTACAGTGGCTCATGCCTGTAATCCTGGCACTTTGGGAGGCCAAGGTGGGTAGACTGCGTAAGCCCAGGAGTTCTAGGTGGCCTGAACAACATGGCAAGAAAACCTTGTCCCTATGAAAACAAATTAAAACTCAGTTGCTTAGCTGGGCATGGTGGCACATCCCTGTAGTCCCAGCTACTCAGGAGGTCGGGTGGGAGGATTGCTTGAACCATGAGGCCAACGCTGCGGGGAGCAGAGATTGCGCCACTATGCTCCAGCCTGGGTGACAGAGTAAGACCCTGTCTTTAAAAAACAAACAAACAAAAAAAACACCCCACAAAAAACCTTCCTGGGCGCAGTGGCTCACGCTCATAATCCCAGCACTTTGGGAGGCTGAGGTGGGCGGATCACCTGAGGTCAGGAGATCGAGACCATCGTGGCTAACATGGTGAAACCCTATCTCTACTAAAAATACAAAAAATTAACCGGGCATGATGGCACATGCTAGTCCCAGCTACTCAGGAGGCTGAGGCAGGATAACTGCTTGGGCCTGGGAGGCATAGGTTGCAGTGAGCCGAGATCACACCACTGCACTCCAGCCTGGGCAACAGAGCAAGACTCTGTCTCAAAAACAAACAAACAAAAAAACACCAAGGAAAAAACCAGTAACTTTTATGTTTACTGGGAAAGCAAAACAAAAAAATAATAATCTGAGTAGGTTTCCAGGGGTATTCGCTTTGATTCTGGCTGGAAGCAAACCTGCTGTATCGCTGAGGCTGGCCTGAAACACAGTGCAGCATAAGCGTCCGTGCTACCAGAGACGTCGCGGGAGGGCAGGCTGGAGGGTGACGGGAAGGACAGATGCTCACAGACACGGGCTGCTGCATGTGACCCTCTTCCTGCCGGGGCATGGGACGTCAGCCATGATGCTGTGACACCCACGAATGATCCGCGGGGTCAGCCTTACCCACAAACCCCTTCAGGAGTGAACAGCCCACGGGGCCCTGAAAGGTGCCGAGGCAACTTCTGCGTGTCAGGCAGAACCGGGCAGTAAACAGCACGGGGCATGAAACTGCCTCACAAACACTGACGCCCTGCCGGAGAGGAGGGAAAGGACCCTTTGGAGGCAGGCACCACCAGCACTCAGGAGCCGCTGCAGCTCCGAGACACGGGGCCTGTGTCCCTGCACCCCAGTCACACCGCGTGAGTGAGGGAGTGAGGCCGCTGCAGCTCCGAGACACGGGGTCTGTGTCCGTGCACCCCAGTCACACTGCGTGAGTGAGGGAGTGAGGCCGCTGCAGCTCCGAGACACGGGGTCTGTGTCCCTGCACCCCAGTCACACTGCGTGAGTGAGGGAGTGAGTGAGTGAGTGAGTGAGTGAGTGAGTGAGTGAGGCTGCTGCAGCTCTGAGACACGGGGTCTGTGTCCCTGCACCCCAGTCACACCACGTGAGTGAGGGAGTGAGTGAGGCCGCTGCAGCTCCAAGACACGGGGTCTGTGCCCGTGCACCCCAGTTACACTGCGTGAGTGAGTGAGTGAGTGAGTGAGGCCGCTGCAGCTCCGAGACACGGGGTCTGTGTCCGTGCACCCCAATCACACTGTGTGAGTGAGGGAGTGAGGCCGCTGCAGCTCCGAGACACGGGGTCTGTGTCCCTGCACCCCAGTCACACTGCGTGAGTGAGTGAGTGAGTGAGTGAGGCCGCTGCAGCTCTGAGACACGGGGTCTGTGTCCCTGCACCCCAGTCACACCGCGTGAGTGAGTGAGGCCGCTGCAGCTCTGAGACACGGGGTCTGTGTCCGTGCACACTAGTCACACTGCGTGAGTGAGGGAGTGAGTGAGTGAGGCTGCTGCAGCTCCGAGACACGGGGTCTGTGTCCGTGCACCCCAGTCACACTGCGTGAGTGAGTGAGTGAGTGAGGCCGCTGCAGCTCTGAGACACGGGGTCTGTGTCCCTGCACCCCAGTCACACCGCGTGAGTGAGGGAGTGAGTGAGGCCACTGCAGCTCTGAGACACGGGTCTGTGTCCGTGCACACTAGTCACACTGCGTGAGTGAGGGAGTCAGTGAGTGAGGCCGCTGCAGCTCCGAGACACGGGGTCTGTGTCCGTGCACCCCAATCACACTGTGTGAGTGAGGGAGTGAGGCCGCTGCAGCTCTGAGACACGGGATCTGTGTCCGTGCACCCCAGTCACACTGCGTGAGTGAGTGAGTGAGTGAGTGAGGCCGCTGCAGCTCTGAGACACGGGGTCTGTGTCCCTGCACCCCAGTCACACCGCGTGAGTGAGTGAGTGAGTGAGTGAGTGAGGCCGCTGCAGCTCTGAGACACGGGGTCTGTGTCCCTGCACCCCAGTCACACCGCGTGAGTGAGTGAGGCCGCTGCAGCTCTGAGACACGGGGTCTGTGTCCGTGCACACTAGTCACACTGCGTGAGTGAGGGAGTGAGTGAGTGAGGCTGCTGCAGCTCCGAGACACAGGGTCTGTGTCCGTGCACCCCAGTCACACTGCGTGAGTGAGTGAGTGAGGCCGCTGCAGCTCTGAGACACGGGGTCTGTGTCCCTGCACCCCAGTCACACCGCGTGAGTGAGGGAGTGAGTGAGGCCACTGCAGCTCTGAGACACGGGGTCTGTGTCCGTGCACACTAGTCACACTGCGTGAGTGAGGGAGTCAGTGAGTGAGGCCGCTGCAGCTCCGAGACACGGGGTCTGTGTCTGTGCACCCCAATCACACTGTGTGAGTGAGGGAGTGAGGCCGCTGCAGCTCTGAGACACGGGGTCTGTGTCCGTGCACCCCAGTCACACTGCGTGAGTGAGTGAGTGAGTGAGTGAGTGAGTGAGTGAGTGAGGCCGCTGCAGCTCTGAGACACGGGGTCTGTGTCCCTGCACCCCAGTCACACCGCGTGAGTGAGTGAGGCCGCTGCAGCTCTGAGACACGGGGTCTGTGTCCGTGCACACTAGTCACACTGCGTGAGTGAGGGAGTGAGTGAGTGAGGCCGCTGCAGCTCCGAGACACGGGGTCTGTGTCCGTGCACCCCAATCACACTGTGTGAGTGAGTGAGTGAGTGAGTGAGTGAGTGAGTGAGGCCGCTGCAGCTCTGAGACACGGGGTCTGTGTCCGTGCACCCCAGTCACACTGCGTGAGTGAGTGAGTGAGTGAGTGAGTGAGTGAGGCCGCTGCAGCTCTGAGACACGGGGTCTGTGTCCCTGCACCCCAGTCACACCGCGTGAGTGAGGGAGTGAGGCCGCTGCAGCTCTGAGACACGGGGTCTGTGTCCCTGCACCCCAGTTACACTGCGTGAGTGAGGGAGTGAGTGAGGGAGTGAGTGAGGCCACTGCAGCTCTGAGACACGGGGTCTGTGTCCCTGCACCCCAGTCACACCGCGTGAGTGAGGGGGTGAGTGAGGCCGCTGCAGCTCCGAGACACAGGGTCTGTGCCCGTGCACCCCAGTCACACCGTGTGAGTGAGTGAGCAAGGCCACTGCAGCCAGACCTCAGCCTTGTGCTCGGAGCTGGTACCACTGAGCACACCCCAGCCCTTCCTTCCTTCTCTGTGTAGAGAGAGCCCCGTTACAGGTACGTGTGAAACAGATGGGCCCCAAGGCCACAGCAGCTGCGTGTCCCGGGAGCCCTGTCCTCACTGGGGGTGGTCATACCTTCCGTGGCCGGCACGGGGGTCGTGGCTGACGCCGCAGCCTCGGCCCAGGCAGCCCATCCTCCCAGCAGGTCGGGGTTGCTGGATGAGGCTGTTATCTTGGTGGGTTCTCCTGGCAGATCCCCTGGGAAGAAGGAACCGGAAGAGAGCACTCTTTGGTGTCTCAGCACACAGCTGGTGCTGCCACACGGCAGGCGCCAGGCAGTGCTCAGGCCCCGGGAGCTAGCACCTCGTGCACCCAGGCCCAGCTGAGGCTGAATGGACGGCCTCTCTCTTCCTGCTGGGCCTGAGGACTCAGCCAATCATGCAGAGATGACTGAGTGGACGTAGGGACACCAGCAGGCAGAGCTGCTGGCGGACGAGTCTGAGAACAAGCATCTGCAGTTCCCACACACAAGAGTTTGTCCAGACCCCACTTTCTGCAGCCGCCCACTGCCGTCCCCACAGCCTGTGGTCCAGCCACTCCTAAAACCCACCACAGCCCTCAGCGGCTCCCCCTAGCTGAGCTGCCTTCCAGGCAGACACAGGCCCCAGCAGGTCCCATCTGCCCTGGCTCTGGCCACACTGCACACCTCCAGAGGCACCCACCCACATGCCACAGGGCTGCACTGCACATGCCCAGCACGAGCCATCTCTCAACAGTCACTGCCATCACCCCAGAGTGCACTGTGGGCCACGCTGCTGCCTCCTCGGGAGAGAGAATCTGGGCTGCCTCCTCCAGGACCACACTGGAGAGACAGCCCAGCTCTTTCCCTGGGCCTGGCCCTATGGTAAACAAGCCATGCTGTGCCCCAGGTCCGGCCTCCTCCCCATGGACACAGTGCCCCAAGGCCCCTGCTGCGCTGGGACCAAGCCAGCTTCCTGGACCCTGGGCCCCTGACTGCATCCCTCTGACCACTCGGCCCCACACAAGTGCTGGGTGCAGGTGGCCGTCTCTGCTAACAGCTGGGAGCCCTGGGCCTGTGACGGCCCAGAACTTGTTCCGGGTTTGGAGAGGGTTTGGGGAGACAGAGCAGGGAGCAGTCTCTCCTGACCTCGGGGACGTTCTGCAGGACCCTGGGCCACCAGAAAGGGCACGCAGAGGCCACGGTCCAGCCTCATCACTGCTGGAGACCCACAGTTCTGCTTCCAGCACAGGCTGCGGTCCTGAGGGAAGAGGCCATAGGGAGCTGGGGCGGCGAGAGGCGCTTACCCAGGTGCAGGAAGTCGGTGCTGCAGGCCAGGGGCGGAGCGCTGTGGGCAGACGGGAAGGACGGGACGGCCGCAGAGTCTGAGTTGAGAAGCTCGCAGAAGAGATCAGGACTGGAGCAGGGCTGAGCGTCAGTGTCTGAAGACAGCAGCAGTGGGCCGAAGGGGTCGGCTGCGGGGACAGGCAGGGACGGGGAGGACAATGGACCCAGCTCTGGGCCACTCCAGCTGAGCAGTCCAGAGCCCACAGCTGCCCTCTCAGGGACACCAAGGCAGTCAGCCCAGGGCCTCCCCACGCAACATGCCTCAGGATGACCTTCCCATGGACGCAGCAACATTGCCAGATGGAAGAGCTGGCAGCGTCTAGCCCGTGAGCTCAGGCAAGCAGTGCAGAGCCAGCCCCTGCCGTGACCCTGAGGCTGCTCCCAGGGGAGGCGGGGGAGGGCACATTCCCTTCCTTCAAGAGCCTTCCAGACATTTCTATGTGGTGAGAATGACTGAACCTCATCACTTCTTCTCTACCGTGAAGCCACTCGCCATCCACAGAAACACGTACCAGCAGTGGGGGGCCCTCCTCTTGGGGTACTCTGAACGCTCAGGGGAGGGGCCGGGCTTGCCAGGAGTAGGGGGGCCTCGCCGAGCAGATCCTCCGGGGACCCCTGCAAGGCGGCCTCAGGGGACCCGAGGAGGCAGCTGAGCAAGTCGGTGTTGCTGGAGGGGGCCCTGTGGGCCTGCGGTGGGAGAGCAGGCTCTGCGCCTGCCTCGGGCTTGGAGTGCAGCCCCAGGAGGTCGACCCCGTCTTCCTGCGTCTCAGGCTCTGGCAGTTCAGCGGGCGATCCCACCTCCAAAACAGAGTCCTGCGGCACCAGCCCCGCTGCTAGGCAGGGGGTGTCCGAGTCGGCCCTGGGCTCCTGGCCCTCGCTGGAGATCGGGGACCCCCCTTCATCCGACACCTCGCTCTCGTCTCTGTCCTCCATCAGGGCAGACTCGCTCTCCTTGGGAGAGGCGTCTTCTGCACCGGTCTCTGACTCCTTCTCTTCTGTGGAAAGGAAACAAAACTGCAGGCTGGTGAACCCACACAGCCAGCCCCAGGGTGCCCCTGGCACGGCTCCCTCAGCGCCTCCTCGGCCCAGGGCCTTGGCAAACGCTGCAGAAGCTTGTCAGCTTTCCTGAGGCGTCTCCAGTGTACCCCCTGCAGCCTCCTCAAGGGTCTGCCTATGGCTCTCTCCACCTGGGCCTCTGCGGTGCTCCAGGCTGAGCCAAGTGGGGGACATGCAGCAGCACTGGGGGAGGAGCACTGAGGGAGGAGCATCGGGGTAAGAGCACAGTGGGGAGGAACACGGGGGGAGAAACATGGGGTGGGGGAACACTGGGGGAAGAGCACAGGGGGAGCAGCACCGGGGGAGGAGCACGGGGGGGGGGAGAACGGGGGAGGAGCATGGCGGGGAGAAACAGTGGGGGAGCAGCACCAGGGGAGGATCACTGAGGGAGGAGCATTGGGGGAGAAACATGGGGCAGGGGAACACGAGGGAGGAGCACGGGGGGAGGAACACGAGGGGAGCAGCACGGAGGGAGGAGCACGGGGGAGGAGCACAGGGGGAAAAGCACGGGGAGGGGGCGAGAAACAGTGGGGGAGCAGCATTAGGGGAGGAGCACCCTGCTCTGGGAACAGGCGGCAGGCGGGACAGCCCTGCTGGGACAACTGAGGGTGCTGGGACAGGAGGTGGCAGGGATACCCCCTAGAGTGTCTGTCTGGAGGTGAGATCCAGTGACGGTGCCCAGGTACTTGCCTGGAGAGCCTGGGGAGGGGCTGGGAGCCCACTGGGGGTTGTAGGCAGAAAGGGGTGTGGGATCTCCAGGTGGTGACTGAATGTCCCTCTGCCCAGGGCCTTCCCCTGCACCCAGGGGCCCCCATGGGCAGCGCCCGTGCTGCTAGCCGCCCCAGGGCCGCAGACTGAGATGCAAAGCTAGGGTCAGCATTTCGGACTCTGTGGACATATTTATTTCAACCATTAAAAATATGAGATCATCTTAGCTTGCGAGCCACTAAGGAACAGCTGGCGTGCTGTGCACACGGCCCTACTCTGGTACAGCCCAGGTCTGCCTGAGGCCTGTCTCCCAAGGTGCTTGCCCTGCCCCAGGGCACCTCTAGACTGGTCCTGTCCTCTGCAAGAGAGCCAGGTCCACGGTTGTGCCTACCCTGCCAGTCCAGTGTGTGCAGGAAGCGGCTGGTGTCCGCACTGCTGCTTGGTGGTGAGTCAGAGTCCGGGGGCTCGGCTTCTGGGGACCCCACCCCAGCATCATACTGAGCCGTGGAGCCGGGCTGTCGAGGGAGCTCTGGCTTCCCTGCCAGGAGAGAGAGGGTGTTAGGGCACTGGCACTGGCCAGCAGCCTCAAGGCAGCACTACCCCAGAGCTGAGAAGTGCAGCTAGCCAGGCATCAGCACCATGGCAGGCCAGGCCACCAGGAAAGCACACCAATGACATGATGGCGAGGGGACCTCTGTGAAGAGATTCCTACTATCCACTCAGATGCCGTTCTGGGCCACATGTGCGCACTTGTGCACAGCACGCGCACACACATACACACAAGGAACACTGCCACATACGGTCGCAGCTGATATGAATGCATGCACCACTCACATGCACACACACACACCACACACAGAGGCACCCCGCACCCATGTACATCCATGGTACACATGAATGCACGTACCACTCACATGCGTGCACACAGACCACGCACACGGGAACACTCCACCCACGTACATCCACAGCACACACAAATGCACACACACTCACATGCACACACACACCACACACAGGCACCCTCCACCCATGTACATCCACGGTACACATGAATGCACACACCACTCATGTGCACATACACATCACACGCACTGGCACACCACCCATGTACATTCATGATACACATGAATGCATGCACCACTCACATGCACACTCCACCCACGTACATCCACCGCACACACAAACACACGCATACTCGCGTGCACACAAACACCACACACAGGTACCCTCTACCCATGTACATCCACGGTACACATGAATGCCCGCACCACTCACGGGCACACTCCACCCACGTACATCCACCGCACACACAAACACACGCATACTCGCGTGCACACAAACACCACACACAGGCACCCTCTACCAATGTACATCCATGGTACACATGAATGCCCGCACCACTCACGGGCACACTCCACCCACGTACATCCACCGCACACACAAACACACGCATACTCGCGTGCACACAAACACCACACACAGGCACCCTCTACCCATGTACATCCACGGTACACATGAATGCCCGCACCACTCACATGCACACTCCACCCACGTATATCCACCGCACACACAAACACACGCATACTCGCGTGCACACAAACACCACACACAGGCACCCTCTACCCATGTACATCCACGGTACACATGAATGGCCGCACCACTCACATGCACACACCACACACACGGGCACACTCCACCCACGTACACAGCACGCACAGGCTGCACATGCAGTCTCTTTCGGTATGCTGAGAATGCTCAGAAAGAAAATGCAAACATTGCGAACCAAGAGCCGAGGACGAGCATGGCACGGGTGGCGGGTGGCCCTGGGCCCACCTGCCAACCCTTCCTGGGCTGCCTCTTTGAAAGTGCTCAGAAATGAGAAGAGTGACAGGAGCAAGGGTTCTGCCATGTCCATGTGCTGCCAGCAGGCCTGAGGCCTGCAGTGAGAGCGGACGTGTATCCAGCACACAGGACAAAAACCTGACCTAGACGCATGCCCAGGGCGAAACCCTGCTTTGCTCCAGGAGCCTGGGTTTCCTTCCCCTGCCTCTGCCCCTGCCCATGGGCCCCAGAAACTGCAGCCTCAGTCCTGCTTCCCGAGTGTTGCTGGTGGTGGTGTCCAACACCCAAGACGGAGTCTCTCAAACTTCCTGCAGCCCACGTTGCTCCGACCTGAGCACAGCAGCAGGTGCGGGTGGCTCAGCCCTGCCAGATCTCAGCCGAAGGGGCTCTCACCATAGAGATACTGGGCAGAGCAGGATGCCCTCATTTCACCCGCAGGAGCTTACCAAACTTAGACAGAATGTCTTGCTGCTCCTCCCGGCTGGAAAACAGGATCTTGGGGTTCAGCCCCTTCATGCTCGAGTTCTCCCATGGCGGGGCCTCCCGGCTTGGCCTGTCCCTGGGCTCCACCTCCACTTCCAGGTTCACTTGAAATAAATCTGGGTATTTCTCCTGAATGTCGCACGCGTCCAGGTCATACCTGCGGAGTTACGAGTAGGCACCACTCAGGAAGGCCACACAAGTAGTGTGCAAGTCCCTCGAACATTCACTAAAGAAAGGTGCACGGAAACACTGCAGCAGCAGCAGAACCACCAGGGCAGCTGGCCACCCCCGCCTGCTGAAGCCAGAGCCGTGGGAGCCAACCCCGCAGCCGTCCCAGGAACCCGCAGGGCGTCAGCACCTGGGTCACGGCCCCAGAAGAGCATCACTGCATCTGCTCCATGGGGATGCCTGAGGCTGTGTCCAAGGCAGGGGGCACTGGGCTGGGCCCCAGTGTTTCCCCCAAGTCCAGGGGAGGCTGCGTGCTCAGAGAAGACAGGACAATGCCCCACAGCCTATGACTCAGGTGCCCAGGCAGGCAGCTCTGAGATGGGACCCCAGAGTTCCAGGGCAGGCACTGGCCCTCACCCCCAGCACACAGCCTTCAGCCACCTTGCAGCTCAGAGTGAGCACTCTGGGGTACTGTGTTATAGAAATGACAATGTTTGCCCTAACAAATCCACAGCTGTTAACAGATGCCCCTAAAACCAAGACCTCTAGAATCCGGCTGCCAGGGAATTGGGAGGGCGATTCTGGGGGAAACAAGGCTGTGTCTACCATGGGGCCAGGGAGGCAGCACTGGCTGAGCCCCCTGCTCAGCTGTGGGGAGCACAAGGAGGGGTCAGTGCAACCCACTAACATGGAGAAACCTCATCTCTACTAAAAATACAAAATTAGCTGGGCATCGTGGCGCAGGCCTGTAATCTCAGCTACCTGGGAGGCTGAGGCAGGAGAATCACTTGAACCTGGGAGGCAGAGGTTGCGGTGAGCCAAGATCACACCACTGCACTCCAGCCTGGGCAACAAGAGCAAAACTCCATCTCAAAATAAAAAAAAGAGTGGCGACCAGTTCCTGGGAAATGCAGGGTGCCAGCATCTGCAGGGCCGGAAGCACCCAGAGTGGGATGGGACACGGCTTAGGGAGGGTGGGGAGACAAGTGCAGCGGCCTGTGTGGCTCAGAGCCATGGCTGGCTTTAACTGTCACTTCTCCAAGCTCCACACATGCTATGGATGTGTGAAGACCTCTAGCTTACCCCCTCCTGCTCGCCCCCTAAAACATCTCCCTGCATAAGGGGAGGGCACCCTGGACCTGCCCTGGAGGTGGGCACCCGCTCCCCATCCACAGTGGCCGACCTCACGCAAAGCAGTGCCGCCTTGATGCCCTCTCAGGGCTCTGGGCAGAGATGGCCACAGCAGTAGCCGGGACGGATGTGCACTCCAGCCGAGGCCAACACGAGCTTCCCTCCGCACCCCAGTCTCTTCCTGGGCTGCTGTCTGCAGTCAGGGGCAGCAGGGACAGCACAGCGGCGGCACGGCTGGTGCGAAGATGTGGAGGTGGCAACGTATGCAGAGGAGCCAGCAGGCAGCAGCAGAGAATCTGACGGCTACTGCAGGGGAGGCTCAGACCTGGCCACCAACAAGGAGAGTGGAGGGGCACGGCGGGAGGGTCTGTGCAGGGAGCCAGGTCAGTGAGGTAGGCTTGGGTTCTGGGATAGACTGAGCTCGGGCAGCCCAGAGGCAGTGCCACTCATGCCTGGCCTCGCTGCCCCAGCTGCCCCTGGAGACGGCCCTGGGCACTGGGCCTGCAGACTCAGCTCAGCCAGCCTGGCGCTGAGGGCACAATGAGGTTTGTGAGCAGGGCTGGACACTCCCGAAAGCCCTGGACTGCAGAGGACACAGCCCGCAGGCTCCTGCCAGACCAGCTCCAACAGGACAGAGGGGTCTCCCAACAGGCTTGGGGCTACACAGAAATGTGCCATGAGCTGTGCCATGGCGGCAACCCTGTTGCCTCACCCCATGCAGTGCAGGCTCGCCTTGCAGGACCTAGGCACATTCTGCGTGCTCCTCCCCGACTGCCCCGTCCAAACCCTCACCCAGGCACAGTGCAGGCTCACTGCACAGGATCCACACACCTCCCAGGTGCCCCTCCCCCACTGCCCGTCTAAACCCTCACCCAGGCACAGTGCAGGCTCACTGCACAGGACCCACACACCCCCCAGGTGCTCCTCCCCGACTGCCCCGTCCAAACCCTCACCCAGGCACAGTGCAGGCTCACTGCACAGAACCCACACACCTCCCAGGTGCTCCTCCCCCACTGTCCCGTCTAAACCCTCACCCAGGCACAGTGCAGGCTCACTGCACAGGACCCACACACCTCCCAGGTGCTCCTCCCCGACTGCCCCGTCCAAACCCTCACCCAGGCACAGTGCAGGCTCACTGCACAGAACCCACACACCTCCCAGGTGCTCCTCCCCCACTGCCCCGTCTAAACCCTCACCCAGGCACAGTGCAGGCTCACTGCACAGGACCCACACACCTCCCAGGTGCTCCTCCCCGACTGCCCCGTCCAAACCCTCACCCAGGCACAGTGCAGGCTCACTGCACAGAACCCACACACCTCCCAGGTGCTCCTCCCCGACTGCCCCGTCTAAACCCTCACCCAGGCACAGTGCAGGCTCACTGCACAGGACCCACACACCTCCCAGGTGCTCCTCCCCGACTGCCCCGTCCAAACCCTCACCCAGGCACAGTGCAGGATCACTACACAGGACCCACACACCTCCCAGGTGCTCCTCCCTCACTGCCCCATCTAAACCCTCACCCAGGCACAGTGCAGGCTCACTGCACAGGACCCACACACCTCCCAGGTGCTCCTCCCCCACTGCCCCGTCTAAACCCTCACCCAGGCACAGTGCAGGCTCACTGCACAGGACCCACACACCTCCCAGGTGCTCCTCCCCGACTGCCCCGTCTAAACCCTCACCCAGGCACAGTGCAGGCTCACTGCACAGGACCCACACACCTCCCAGGTGCTCCTCCCCCACTGCCCGTCTAAACCCTCACCCAGGCACAGTGCAGGCTCACTGCACAGGACCCACACACCTCCCAGGTGCTCCTCCCCCACTACCCCGTCCTAACTTCACGTTCAGCCATCTCATTAAATCCACCTGTTCATTCTGACTGTATAGGTTCCGCAGGCTGAAAACCATCATGCTGCCTGGGAGAAGCAACACCGGAAACTTCCGTTCCTTCTGACCTTTCTTTCTTTTTTCTTGCCTTACTGCACTGGCTGGGACTGACCATAAAATATCAGACAGTGAGACTGAAGTCTTGCTGTTTGTATGCTCAGGAGAGAAACGTGTGAGTACGTCACAATCAGCTGTGTGCAGGCTTTAGGGTTTCGGTGGCGGCTCTTCATCAGCCTAAGAAAGTTTCCTTCTGTTCCTCTTTGCTGAGCATTCTGACGAGGAAGAAGCACTCATTCTTACCATGCTCTATCTATGAAAACTTGGCCTGGTTTCACTTTTGCTCTGCTAACATAGTGAATGATGGTGACTGACCATTTTCAAATGTTTAAACCACCTCCCGTTCCTGAAATAAACCAGATGTCAGACCTGTTATCCTTGTTATGTAACACTAGATTCTTTCAGCTAATATTTTGCTTAGCATTTTTCTATCTCTATTTAGGAGATCTGGCTTACCATTTTCCTTTCCTACAACGTTCTTCTGTGTGCACAATCACGACTCACCACAGCTTAGACCTCCCAGGCTCAAGCAATTCTCCCAGCTCAGCCTCCTGAGAGCTGGGACCGCAGGCGTGCGCCATCACGCCTGGATGTTTTTAAAAATTTTTTTGTGGAAATGGGGTCTCACTATGTCGCCAGTCTGGCCTCCAACTTCTGGCTCAAGTGATCCTCCCATCTCAGCCTCCCAAAGTGCTGGGATCATAGGCGTGAGCCACAGTGCCCAGCCTGCAGGAAGGTTTTAAATTACAAAATACATTTATTTAACAGATATTCCAAGGCAGTACTTCTTCGTGGGTGTATTTTGAGGGGTGTTTTTCAGGTAATTTGTCCATTCGACTCGGAACGGCCTTCCTTCAGCACCTGAGGCCTCTGTGGGACTGTCCATGGGACCCACGTCTCTCTTCGCCTCCCACCCTGGGAACCCACCCTGGGAACCAGAGTTGTCTCCCTTTCTTGACCAGATTTGTTAAAGCATTCACCAACTGACCTTTTCAGATAATCAGAAGAAACATCTTCTGGCTTTACTGACTTTTCCTATAGCACACTTGCTTTTGTTTGTTTTTAACACGGAGTTTCACTCTGTAGGCCAGGCTGGAGTGCAGTGGTGTGATCTCAGCTCACTGCAACCTCCCCCTCCTGAGTTCAAGCGCTTCTCCTGCCTCAGCCTCCCCAGTAGCTGGGATTACAGGTGCAGGCCACCATGCCCAGCGATTTTTTGTATTTTTAGTAGAGACAGGGTTTCACCATGTTGGCCAGGCTGGTCTCAACTGCTGACCTCAGCTGATCAGCCCGCCTCAGCCTCCCAAAGTGCTGGCATTACAGGCGTGAGCCACCGCGCCTGGCCAGTGTGCTTCTTTTTAACTGAATTCTCTTCCTACCTTTATTTTTTTCCATCTACCTTTTTGGGTTTAATTTGCTGTTCTTTCTCTAACTTCCTGAGGTATGAGTTGAGGTCACTGACTTCCAGTATTTCTTTTTTTCTTGGAGATGGGTTCGCTCACAGCCTACTGCAGCCTTGCCCCCCCAGGCTCAAGGAATCTCCTGCCTCCCCACGGGTAGAATTACAGCTATGAGCCACTGTGCCCAGCCGACCTTCCTTCTTTTTAACGTAAGCATTTAAAGTTACAGATTTCCCCTAAACCCTGCTGTAGATGCATCCCAGAAACCTGGTGAGGGGTATTTTGATTATCACTCCGTTTAAAATACTTTCTCATTCCAACTGTGATTTCCTTTTTGGCACGTGGGCTACTTATGAGCACACAGCCTCTGGGTGTTTCCTATTACTGATTCTACTTCACCCCACTGTTGAGATGTTCTGAGACTTACTATACGACCCAACATGGGGTCGACTTTGATAAATGCTCCACTTGAACAGATGCCATTTCTCCAAGTATTTGCTGAAGTTGGCAAACTCGGGTCACGCTGGTTAAACATTGTAAAAAAAAAAAACTACATCCTGGGCCAGGCGCGGTGGCTCATGCCTGTAATCCCAGCACTGTGGGAGGCCAAGGTGGGCAGACCACGAGGTCAGGAATTCAAGACCATCCTGGCCAACAGAGTGAAACCCTGTCTCTACTAAAAATACAGAAATTAGCTGGGCATGGTGGTGTGTGCCTATAGTCCCAGCTACTCGGGAGGCTGAGGCAGAAGAATCACTGGAACCCGGGAGGTGGAGGTCACAGTGAGCCGAGATGGTGCTACTGCACTCCGGTCTGGGTGACAGAGTGAGACTCTATTTCAAAAAGAATAAAACAAAAAAGAAAAAAAACCAGAAGAAACCAAAACTGCATCCTGATGTTCTTGTCCACCTATTCTGCTGACTGGTGAGAGGTGACCATCAGCGTGGGTCTGTCAGCTTCGCCCCTCGGTCTGCCCATTTGCACTGCCTGTCCTGAAGCCACCTCACCGCGCTCGCCCCTGGGGTGTGGCCCTTCATCTCCTGCCTGATGTCCACGCAGTGATACCTGCCCTCTTCCTGCTGCCATCCGCATGGAAGCAGCTTTCAGTGACTCCACTTGGCGTCTCTGGGTCGTCATACACACGGTCTTTAAAGCACGGCTCTGGTAAGCAGTGTAGACTGGAGGATAGACGTGAGCTTTCCCTGTGTGCTGCTTCTTAGTCCAGCCCAGTTACCTGGAGTGTTTCTTCCATTACCCTTCCATGGGATGGCTGACAGGCACCGTGGGGCACAGGTCTACCAGCTGGTTGTCCCCTACCTACACCCCATCCGGATGTTTCTTCATCGCTACATTCTTCTCGAGAATTAATCACATATTTTTTGTTCCAGATTTCTTCTCGATCAAATCTTTAATCTGCCCTAGGGATGGGTACATTTCTTGCTTCCTGGTGATGGAACTCTGAAAACAGTCACTCCATTAACCCCCTCCTCTGCCGTGCGTGCGTGCGTGCATGTGTTGGTGCTCCTGTTGTCAGTCTTTTAAGCAGCTGGCACTGGTGTAATTTCAGCACCCCTGCCTCCCTTCCCCCAAGCTGCACGCTTTACAGCTCTGCCTTGGATATCTGCTGAAATGGAGCAGTTCTGCCAACAATAAACCCTCTCATCCTTTGTTTGGCTGAAGACATCTTTAACTGGCTTTCCTATTTCAAGGATAAATTCGCTGGATGTAGAATTCCAGTATTTTTCTCTAGGCACTTTAGAGAGTCTCTCAAAGTTGCCTTCTGGTGTCACTGTGCAGGGCATGTGTTCTCACACCTCTGTCCCAATCCCTAGGGGCCGGAAATTGTTCTCTTTGGGTTCCCGCAATTCAACCAGGATGCTCTGAAGTACCAAATCTCTTTTCTTCCTTTTGCTAAAAAAAAAAAAAGAAGGGGTCCAAAGTGGCTCCCACTGGAGGTCATGGCGCTTGCGAAGGCGAGGTCATCAGTTCAAGGCTAACCTGAGCAACCTCATAAGCTCAAACTGATTGGCAAAAAAATAAAAAAAAAAGAAAAGAAAAGAAATCCTCTTTGGTGTATGCAGAGCTTCTGATTCCATAGTTTTGAGGTCCTCCATCAGTTTAGGAGAAGTTTTGGCCAATGATTTTTCAAGTATTATTTCTGTTCCACTCCATCTCTTCTCCAAGAACTTCAAACAAAAGCACCCCAGGCCCTCGTGTTACCAGAGTGTCTCTCACGAGCCTTTCTGCACGTGTCTTCTGCTCTCATCGGCCTTTCCGCACGTGTCTTCTGCTCTCATCGGCCTTTCTGCACGTGTCTTCCGCTCTCACCGGCCTTTCCGCACGTGTCTTCCGCTCTCACCGGCCTTTCCTGTACGTGTCTTCCGCTCTCACCGGCCTTTCCGTACGTGTCTTCCGCTCTCACCGGCCTTTCAGTACGTGTCTTCCGCTCTCACCGGCCTTTCAGTACGTGTCTTCCGCTCTCACCGGCCTTTCCGTACGTGTCTTCCGCTCTCACCGGCCTTTCCGTACGTGTCTTCCGCTCTCACCGGCCTTTCCGCACGTGTCTTCCGCTCTCACCGGCCTTTCCGCACGTGTCTTCCGCTCTCACCGGACTTTCCGCACGTGTCTTCCGCTCTCACCGGCCTTTCCGCACGTGTCTTCCGCTCTCACCGGCCTTTCCGCACGTGTCTTCCGCTCTCACCGGCCTTTCCGCACGTGTCTTCCGCTCTCACCGGCCTTTCTGCACGTGTCTTCCGCTCTCACCGGCCTTTCCGCACGTGTCTTCCGCTCTCACCGGCCTTTCCGCACGTGTCTTCCGCTCTCACCGGCCTTTCCGCACGTGTCTTCCGCTCTCACCGGCCTTTCCGCACGTGTCTTCTGCTCTCACCGGCCTTTCCGCACGTGTCTTCCGCTCTCACCGGCCTTTCCGCACGTGTCTTCTGCTCTCACCGGCCTTTCTGTACGTGTCTTCTGCTCTCACCGGCCTTTCCGCACGTGTCTTCTGCTCTCACCGGCCTTTCTGTACGTGTCTTCTGCTCTCACCGGCCTTTCTGCACGTGTCTTCCACTCTCACGATCGTTTCTGCATGTAGCTTCCATCGATTTTTCTCCACGTGGCTGTTGGAAGATCTTTTCTACCAATTGGCTGTCTGTTCTGCTGACTATTCCACTGCCTAGCATGTGCTGAATCCTTGATTTCGGCTGTAATATTTTTCAGTTCTAGAATTCACATCTGTCTCCTTTTTATGTTCCAGATCTCCGGTGAAATTCCCATCATTTCCCCCACTTTCCTAAATAAGCAGTTACCGAGTCCCTGCCTCCTGCCTCCAGCATCTGAACCACCGACAGGTCCTTCCCCGACATTTTCCCCTTCATTGTCAGTCGCTTGGTCTTTAAAACACTCTTTTAAGCACCGCCTCCACTGTGTCTGAAAACTAAAAGAACTCTGGGTGTTTTTCTTCTCCCAAGAAGGAAAAGAGAAACGAAATGTTAAAGTTATGAATATGTGAGTTAAAAAAAGAAAAGCGTAAGACACAACAAAGCCAAGAAATGTAAAAAAAGAATAACAGATAGAAAAGCACGAGAAGAGCACCCCAGTCTCCTGGTGCAGGCTGTCTGGGAGAGCGGCAGGCACCAGCTCTTCCTGAGCTCCCCCAGGCCAGGCCAGCCCCCCTCTCAAGTGTGTAGTCACCGGTGGGGCTGGCCCTAAGATTTCCCTTTGTCTGCTGGGTGGGAACCAAGAGAGCAGAGCCTGGAACACAGCAGGCCCTGAAGCCAGCATCTGTCTCAGGACCACCCCCCGTCGGTGCCCCCTCTGGCTCCTAAAATGATGCTTGTTCCACTGTGCCTTGGTGCATAAGCCTGCCTGTGACTGAGTAGCAAGATCTCCAGTTAAATGGGAAGCTGGAGTGGGCGGATCACTTGAGGTCAAGAGATTGAAACCAGCCTGGCCAACATGGTGAAACTCCGTCTCTACTAAAACTACAAAAATTAGCTGGGTGTGGTGGCGCATGCCTGTAGTCCCAGCTACTCCAGAGGCTGAGGCGAGAGAATCTCTTGAGGCTGGGGGATATGAGCCCGCTCTGCTGCTCACCGCAGTGCACCTGAGCCTGTGCAGGGCAGGTATGCACTGTTGGGTGCCCATGTCAAGAGGATAGGGAACTCACAAGTGCTTGGCATGGTGGGTGGGGTTATCCCTTGACTGTGCTTGTTTACAGAGGTCTCTACTCTAGAACTCAGAGTGAACTTCTAGTCAGGACTGCTCCGCATTACTTGCAATCTCCGCCGGGCAAGGCATTCTGCACACAGCAGGCTCAGGGACGTTTGTGAAGATGCAGCTTCCACCTGCTCACCTGCTCATGCCACACCCAGGTGTGGGGGCAGAGCAGCAGCCACTGGGTCCACCCCAGCAGCCTGTACATGCACAGCTCCCAGATGGCCCAGGAGCAGCCCAGTGCCACCAATTGGCAGTCACAGAGCCCACCATTTCCCCTGCGGCTCCCGCCACCGAGCCACACGCAGGTGCTCCATTGCTGAGCACCCGCCCATTCCCTCTGGGCACATGTGGCACCAACATACTTGGCAAATTTCACAGTGGTGGCATTCCGAGGCACAAAGCCCGTGTGGAACTGAATCTGGAACATCTTCATGGATGCCATCTGCAAAGAGAGCAGACAAAACACGAGGGCCCACATGGAGGGTGAGTCCAGATCCCAGGGCCACAGGCACACTTTCCCCATGGATGAGCTCCGGGAGCCGCTCGTGGCACTGGAGATGTGGATGATGCCCTGTGCCACGTGCTGTGGCGAGAGTGGGAGAGGGTCTGTGTGTGGCAGGTGGTCCCAAGGAGAAGGCACAGGCCCACAAGCCACTTCATGGGGCTGCCCAAGTGGACCTTCAAACTCAGTATCGACAGGAAACGCCAGGCTTTCAGGCTGAGATCCTGCCGTGGCAAGTGCAGAGTAAGCAGGTACAGTCACCATGTGGGTAGCTGCCACGTGAGAGCTGCCGGCACTCACCAAGCAGTGAGCACCCCGGAGCCCTCAGCAGGAAGTGGAGGGACGGCCACGCTGAACGCACAGCAGCACCCAGCCCCCCAGAGCCAGGGGTGAGTGGGGAGCACCTGGCGGGCCCCAGGCTTCCTCACCTTGGCCTGCAGCCGGCCACCCAGGGTGGACCGGGCGTGATAGATGACGATGAGCACGTCTCCTTGCACCGTGATGCCCAAGGGAATGACTGCTTTCCCATCCTCGATCTTAAAATCCCTGAGAACAGAATGATGAGAGAAACACTAAACAAAAAGCCCAAAAAACAAACAAATGAAAACAAAAAACAGAAGGACAAGAAATCACCCCACAGGTAAAATGTGTAATATTCAATAAAGAATGACCCCCACAAACGAAAACCCCGAGAAGAACCCTGCAGTCTCCTAGACGCTTAGATCCATGTGATCCCCTTGCTGACCCAGTTCCAGATGACCTGCCAGGCACTAACGTTCCAAACACGTGCGCCTCGGCAAGGCCAGGTTCTTCTTCAAGGTTTTCCGGAGGGGTGAGAGTAGGGAGCACGGCGCGGGGCCGCAGGTGCACTCACCGCATCTTGTCATACTCCTGGGAGGTGCTGGCCACGCGCTCGTCCCCCATGTAGACCTCGCAGAAGGGCCTGCAGCCGCTCCTCTGTTTGCTGAACAGTGGCACGGGCGTCATGACCACGGCCCTCACCAGGATGGGCTTGCTATGAGGCGTGATGGGCTCCTCCGCCACCATGTCACACATGTACTCGATGTACCTGGGGGCAGGCGTGCCATATCACTATATATATAGCTATATATGTAGTTATATATACATATAGTCACACATGTAGTTATAGAGATGTAGTTTTACATATATAGTTACGTATATGCATCTGCCTCTCTCTATGTATACACATACATACATACATGTATCTGTAAGACAGGGTCTTGCTCTGTTGTCCAGGCTAAAGTGCAATGGCATGATCATAGCTCACTGCAGCCTTGATCTCCCTGGCTCTAGTGATCCTCCCCGCTCAGCCTCCCAAGTAGCTGGAACTACAGGCATGCACCGTCATGCCTGGCTAATTTTTGTAGAGATAGGTTTTCACCATGTCGCCCAGGCTAGTCTCAAATTCCTGGGCTCAACTGACCCACCAGCCTCAGCCTCCCAAAGTGCTGGGATTACATGTGTGAGCCACCACACCCCGCCCTAGTTAAAAATATTTTTAAATTTCTTGTGATACTCCCACTCTCATTCATGGGTTATTTAGAAGTTGTTTGAGGCTGCGCAGTGGCTCACACCTGTAATCCCAGCACTTTGGGAGGCCGAGGTGGGTGGATCGCGACGTCAACCCCTGTAATCCCAGCACATTTTAGGAGGCCAAGGCAGGCAGCTTGTCTGAGCTCAGGAGTTCGAGACCAGCCTGGGCAACATGGTAAAACCCCGTAAAACATGGTAAAAACTAAAAATACAAAAATCAGCTGGGTGTGATGGAGGGCACCTGTAGCCCCAGCTACTCCAGAGGCTGAGGCAGGAGAATGGCTTGAACCCGGGAGACAGAGGGTTAGTTTTACAGACATCCTTCCAGTATTTCTAGTTTGATTCCACTGTGACCTGAGAGCATAGCTTATGTGATTTCAAATTTCAAAAATTTATTGAGGTGTGTTTACAGGCCAAAATCTTATCTTTCTTCTTGCATTCCACGTGCATTTAAAATAAATGTGCATTTTCTATTGTTGGGTGGAGAGTCCTAGAGATGTGTCAGCCTCCTGGGCTGGTGTGTTCAGCTCTCCTGTACCCCTCTGTTGTTGGGTGGAGGGTTCTAGAGATGTGTCAGCCTCCTGGGCTGGTGTGTTCAGCTCTCCTGTACCCTCTGTTGTTGGGTGGAGGGTTCTAGAGATGTGTCAGCCTCCTGGGCTGGTGTGTTCAGCTCTCCTGTACCCCTCTGTTGTTGGGTGGAGGGTTCTAGAGATGTATCAGCCTTCCTAGGTTGGTGTGTTCAGTTCTCCTGTACCCTCTGTTGTTGGGTGGAGGGTTCTAGAGATGTGTCAGCCTCCTGGGCTGGTGTGTTCAGTTCTCCTCTACCCTCTATTGTTGGGTGGAGGGTTCTAGAGATGTGTCAGCCTCCTGGGCTGGTGTGTTCAGTTCTCCTCTACCCTCTATTGTTGGGTGGAGGGTTCTAGAGATGTGTCAGCCTCCTGGGCTGGTGTGTTCAGTTCTCCTGTACCCTCTGTTGTTGGGTGGACGGTTCTAGAGATGTGTCAGCCTTCCTAGGTTGGTGTGTTCAGTTCTCCTGTATCCCTCTGTTGTTGGGTGGAGGGTTCTAGAGATGTGTCAGCCTCCTAGGGCTGGTGTGTTCAGTTCTCCTGTATCCCTCTGTTGTTGGGTGGAGGGTTCTAGAGATGTGTCAGCCTCCTGGGCTGGTGTGTTCAGTTCTCCTGTATCCCTCTGTTGTTGGGTGGAGGGTTCTAGAGATGTGTCAGCCTCCTGGGCTGGTGTGTTCAGTTCTCCTGTACCCTCTGTTGTTGGGTGGAGGGTTCTAGAGATGTGTCAGCCTCCTGGGCTGGTGTGTTCAGCTCTCCTGTACCCTCTGTTGTTGGGTGGAGGGTTCTAGAGATGTGTCAGCCTTCCTAGGTTGGTGTGTTCAGTTCTCCTGTACCCTCTGTTGTTGGGTGGAGGGTTCTAGAGATGTGTCAGCCTCCTGGGCTGGTGTGTTCAGTTCTCCTGTATCCCTCTGTTGTTGGGTGGAGGGTTCTAGAGATGTGTCAGCCTCCTGGGCTGGTGTGTTCAGTTCTCCTGTACCCCTCTGTTGTTGGGTGGAGGGTTCTAGAGATGTGTCAGCCTTCCTAGGTTGGTGTGTTCAGTTCTCCTGTACCCTCTGTTGTTGGGTGGAGGGTTCTAGAGATGTGTCAGCCTCCTGGGCTGGTGTGTTCAGCTCTCCTGTACCCTCTGTTGTTGGGTGGAGGGTTCTAGAGATGTGTCAGCCTCCTGGGCTGGTGTGTTCAGTTCTCCTGTACCCTCTGTTGTTGGGTGGAGGGTTCTAGAGATGTGTCAGCCTCCTGGGCTGGTGTGTTCAGTTCTCCTCTACCCTCTATTGTTGGGTGGAGGGTTCTAGAGATGTGTCAGCCTCCTGGGCTGGTGTGTTCAGTTCTCCTGTACCCTCTGTTGTTGGGTGGACGGTTCTAGAGATGTGTCAGCCTTCCTAGGTTGGTGTGTTCAGTTCTCCTGTATCCCTCTGTTGTTGGGTGGAGGGTTCTAGAGATGTGTCAGCCTCCTGGGCTGGTGTGTTCAGTTCTCCTGTATCCCTCTGTTGTTGGGTGGAGGGTTCTAGAGATGTGTCAGCCTCCTGGGCTGGTGTGTTCAGCTCTCCTGTATCCCTCTGTTGTTGGGTGGAGGGTTCTAGAGATGTATCAGCCTTCCTAGGTTGGTGTGTTCAGTTCTCCTGTACCCCTCTGTTGTTGGGTGGAGGGTTCTAGAGATGTCTCCTGGACCCTCTGTTGTTGGGTGGAGGGTTCTAGAGATGTGTCAGCCTTCCTAGGTTGGTGTGTTCAGTTCTCCTGTACCCCTCTGTTGTTGGGTGGAGGGTTCTAGAGATGTCTCCTGGACCCTCTGTTGTTGGGTGGAGGGTTCTAGAGATGTCTCCTGTACCCCTCTGTTGTTGGGTGGAGGGTTCTAGAGATGTGTCAGCCTCCTGGGCTGGTGTGTTCAGTTCTCCTGTACCCCTCTGTTGTTGGGTGGAGGGTTCTAGAGATGTCTCCTGTACCCCTCTGTTGTTGGGTGGAGGGTTCTAGAGATGTGTCAGCCTCCTGGGCTGGTGTGTTCAGTTCTCCTGTACCCTCTGTTGTTGGGTGGAGGGTTCTAGAGATGTGTCAGCCTCCTGGGCTGGTGTGTTCAGTTCTCCTGTACCCTCTGTTGTTGGGTGGAGGGTTCTAGAGATGTGTCAGCCTCCTAGGTTGGTGTGTTCAGTTCTCCTGTACCCTCTGTTGTTGGGTGGAGGGTTCTAGAGATGTGTCAGCCTCCTGGGCTGGTGTGTTCAGTTCTCCTGTATCCCTCTGTTGTTGGGTGGAGGGTTCTAGAGATGTGTCAGCCTTCCTAGGTTGGTGTGTTCAGTTCTCCTGTACCCTCTGTTGTTGGGTGGAGGGTTCTAGAGATGTGTCAGCCTTCCTAGGTTGGTGTGTTCAGTTCTCCTGTACCCTCTGTTGTTGGGTGGAGGGTTCTAGAGATGTATCAGCCTCCTGGGCTGGTGTGTTCAGTTCTCCTGTACCCCTCTGTTGTTGGGTGGAGGGTTCTAGAGATGTGTCAGCCTCCTGGGCTGGCGTGTTCAGTTCTCCTGTACCCCTCTGTTGTTGGGTGGAGGGTTCTAGAGATGTGTCAGCCTCCTGGGCTGGTGTGTTCAGTTCTCCTGTACCCCTCTGTTGTTGGGTGGAGGGTTCTAGAGATGTGTCAGCCTCCTGGGCTGGTGTGTTCAGTTCTCCTGTACCCTCTGTTGTTGGGTGGAGGGTTCTAGAGATGTGTCAGCCTCCTGGGCTGGTGTGTTCAGTTCTCCTGTATCCCTCTGTTGTTGGGTGGAGGGTTCTAGAGATGTCTCCTGTACCCTCTGTTGTTGGGTGGAGGGTTCTAGAGATGTGTCAGCCTTCCTAGGTTGGTGTGTTCAGTTCTCCTGTATCCCTCTGTTGTTGGGTGGAGGGTTCTAGAGATGTGTCAGCCTCCTGGGCTGGTGTGTTCAGTTCTCCTGTATCCCTCTGTTGTTGGGTGGAGGGTTCTAGAGATGTGTCAGCCTCCTGGGCTGGTGTGTTCAGTTCTCCTGTATCCCTCTGTTGTTGGGTGGAGGGTTCTAGAGATGTTATCAGCCTTCCTAGTTTGGTGTGTTCAGTTCTCCTGTATCCCTCTGTTGTTGGGTGGAGGGTTCTAGAGATGTCTCCTGGACCCTCTGTTGTTGGGTGGAGGGTTCTAGAGATGTGTCAGCCTTCCTAGGTTGGTGTGTTCAGTTCTCCTGTACCCTCTGTTGTTGGGTGGAGGGTTCTAGAGATGTGTCAGCCTCCTGGGCTGGTGTGTTCAGTTCTCCTGTACCCCTCTGTTGTTGGGTGGAGGGTTCTAGAGATGTCTCCTGTACCCCTCTGTTGTTGGGTGGAGGGTTCTAGAGATGTGTCAGCCTTCCTAGGTTGGTGTGTTCAGTTCTCCTGTACCCTCTGTTGTTGGGTGGAGGGTTCTAGAGATGTGTCAGCCTCCTGGGCTGGTGTGTTCAGTTCTCCTGTACCCCTCTGTTGTTGGGTGGAGGGTTCTAGAGATGTGTCAGCCTCCTGGGCTGGTGTGTTCAGTTCTCCTGTATCCCTCTGTTGTTGGGTGGAGGGTTCTAGAGATGTATCAGCCTTCCTAGGTTGGTGTGTTCAGTTCTCCTGTACCCCTCTGTTGTTGGGTGGAGGGTTCTAGAGATGTCTCCTGGACCCTCTGTTGTTGGGTGGAGGGTTCTAGAGATGTCTCCTGTACCCTCTGTTGTTGGGTGGAGGGTTCTAGAGATGTGTCAGCCTCCTGGGCTGGTGTGTTCAGTTCTCCTGTATCCCTCTGTTGTTGGGTGGAGGGTTCTAGAGATGTGTCAGCCTCCTGGGCTGGTGTGTTCAGTTCTCCTGTACCCCTCTGTTGTTGGGTGGAGGGTTCTAGAGATGTGTCAGCCTTCCTAGGTTGGTGTGTTCAGTTCTTCTGTATCCCTGCTGGTGGTTTACTTGTCCCGCGATGACTGAAACTGTTGAAGTCTCCTGTACAAACGAGGCGTCTATCATTCCTCTCAGTTCTATCAGTGTTTGCTCTATGGATGTTGAATGGAATGTTTCCCTTACCCTGGTGGCACAGCTCTGACGTCACCGTGACCAGCGTTCCCATGGTGCCTCTTTGTGGTGCAGAAAGCCCTGGTGTCTGCCTCCCACCCTGCGGCACCCCTGCCCGTGCAGCATGCCCTGTCCTGGAGCTTGTCTGGGGCAGGTGATGCCACTTCTGTGGTCACATTTGAGCAGACCAGCCCCAGGACACAGGGGTCCAGCCCAGGCAGCAGGAAGCAAGGATGGGCAGTCCCTCAGCCTAACAAATGAATTCTGCCAACAGCCTGAGTGGCCACGGAGGCAGGTTCAGAAACGAAGGAGAAATCGGCTTCTCAGAGTCAGTGGGGCCAACATCTTGACCAGAGGAGAGGACCCAGCTTAGCCTCAGGGCCCAGGGAGACCGAGAGAGAACAGCCATGCGTGCTTGAAGCCCAAGTGACTGCATGTCACTGCTGTCGCACACTCTTCCCACCGGCCTGTCCTGACCCCGCCGTGGCCTGCGTGTTGAAAGGGGACTTCCCGAGGCGTACGGCTGAGCTGTGCGTTTCTGTTCCATGACGATGCCTGTCTTTTCAACAAAACCACTCACGTCCGACCCCACTCTACCACCTTGCTGTCACCTATCCGTCTTCTCTGTTCCCGGCTTCTTCTTCCATCCACCTTCCCTTGGGAGGTTCTGTTTTCATTTTACTTCGTGTTGACTTCTGAATTACAGCACCTAAGAAAAGCCCTTACTGGCTGTCCTGGGGTTTCTGATGAGAACCTGTGGCTCACATCTTTCTTTCTCTACGAGACGTATCTTCTTCTGGCTGCCTCCAAAACCTCCTCTGTGCTTGGTTTGCAGGATTTCCGACCAGGATGTGCCCGAGTGGGTTTTTATGTGTTTGTCTCATTTGCATTCTGCTTGGTGTCCTCTGGCCTTCTTGGACCTGTGGACGGCTATCTGCTCCTTATTCTGGGAAATTCTCAGCTGGGATTTCATCACTGTTCCCCCTTCCTCCTTCCCTCTGGGACTCCGTGTGTGTGGCTTGCCTGAGGTGGGGGCAGCTCTCAGGTGCTTGTTCTCTCCCCGGCTTTCTCTGCGATTCGTCAGCTTCAGTATCTCTTGACCTAGCTCCAAAGGCTGCTGACTTGGCCTCAGCTACGTCGAAGGCATTCTCCTTTCTGGCACTTCCATGGCTCTGATGAAGTGGCTGCTGGATCGTGCACCCTGCCTTCTTCTGCGTGAGGGTCCTTAGCACAGGAGTCGTGTTTGCTTCCGTTTCCCTCAGTCCCAGGATGCAGCTCTTTCTTGTCTGTTCCATCTGGAGACAGAAAGGTTCTCGGCCAGGTCTGGGCCTCCCTCATGGCAGCTGTGTCCCCTCACCCAGCCCTCACTCTCCTGTCTGTCCTGTGGGTGCCCACAGAGACTGTGCCTTCTGGAGGGCAAGGACCCTTCTGGTCCTGCAACCCTGGAGGCTTCCCTCGCCCACTGAGACATTTGGCCTCCACTGGCTAGACTCTTTCCAAATGCCTCCTCTTCTGGGGTCCAGTTATGTCCACCCCACATAGCGCACACAAACACCTCTCTCCCACAAGCACCTGACTCCTTAGGTTCTAGGTCAGATATGTTGAAAAGCCATGAACTTGAAGCTGGTCCAGCTGGCAGCCCCGTGGGTGCAGTGCTCTGCAATCTCTCCACCCCTACAAGGAAGAAGCTGTGGGGACCTGGTGGGGTCACGGAAGCCCAGCCAAACGCCACAGGGAAAGACTCCCTGGTCTCGGATGCCCCCTGCTGAGCAGGCCCCACCGCACCTGGCCTGGGGGTGCCAATGGCTTTCAGCTCCATGCATGGAGGGAGGGGCTCCCTACTTTGTACTCCACTTCCTGGGGTCACATAAGATGCAGCTGGGTGGGGCAGCTACGATCTCCTCCCAACCAAGGCTGTGAGCATACGAGGTGGGGCCCTCCCTGGGGATCCACAGCAGCAAGAATGGGCTCCTGACCCTTGCCCCGCCCATAGGCTGCACGTCCCGTCCAGAGGGGACGAAGAATGGGGAGTCCCTTGAAGCTTGGGCCTCTGCTCTTCCCTCACGGTGGGGTCATGGGGCCGGCCTTTGCTCTGTGGTCCAGGTCAAGGCCTGCTCTTTTAGAGGCTGGGAGGCTACTCCAGCCTCACTAGGTCCTTACTGAGACCAAGGCCAGGGGAGGCTTACTCTGGGAAGGACTCCCTGGACGTGGGCACCTGCAGCCCCAAGAAACAGCCTCCTCCACGCGGCCAGGGAGAGCCTGCTGTGCGCTGAGGCAGAGCCGCACGGAAGCCTGAATTTGGCAAGGCCCTGAGCACGCTGTGACCATCCTCACATTTGAGCACTGTCAGGCGGTCAACACAGCATTTTCACACACATCATCCACCAGAGCCCACCAGAGGGCTCCCACAGGAGGGACAGAACTGGGCCTGAGAGGAGCCGCCCCTGCCCCGCCCAGTGAGCACAGGCCCGCCAGGCTACGTGGCACCTGCCAGAGAACCTCCATCCACCTGGAGCTGGGCAGGTGCTAGCCCCAGCGGTCGGCACCACCACGGCCGCAGGCCCACCCTCCCTGGGCTCTGTGGGCATAAGCCTGCAATTTGGCCAAGGCTCAGCAAGGCCGGGCCCGCCGTTCCCACCAGTGCCTGTGCAGCACCGACAGGCCCTCCAGGAGACACTGCAGCGAGGGCGGCAGTGCCACGCGGGCCGACAGAGCTGTCCCCAGAGGGCCAAGCAGTACCTTTTGTGGGATGGCCAGATGCCTGGTGGGCAGCGCTTCATGCTGAACATGTACACGGCGGCCTCCGCGGTGCTGAAGAGACGGCAGAAGCACAGGAAGGAGCAGACGGCCACGGCAGACGCAGCTCTCCCATCCTAGGACAGACAGACACGCTCGTGCACATCTCACACACCCAGGACGAGGGATCAAGGGTCCTCAGGGGTCCTACCTGCCCTGTGGCTGCAGAGACACAGAGCTGTTCCCAAGGCTGAGATAGGTTTAGGAACCTATATAAAGTGCCTGCCGAGGAAAGGATAGAGCCAGACAGAAGATTCCCTGAGGAAGAACGGGGCTGGCATCTCTGCAGCAGGCTCTGCTGATGCCCTGTACCCCTGCGGGCAACCCCTCATGAAAACCTCAACTCCATTCACCACAGCGGCAGCGGCCACACCCTGGGAGGCTCAAACACCACCAAGCCTTGTACTGCAGACGGGGAACCTGAAACTGGAGGGCACTCTTCGGTGGCTGCCGCGCAGGAAGGGAGGCAGGCGCCCCACATGGCAGAGTGGCCTCCACATGGGCATGCAAATTGAGGCCAGCAGGGCTACATGGAGAGGGGAGGGAGGGGCCACCTGGCAAATGCCTCTCCAGACCCAAAGCCCCCAAGCACAGGGATTTCTTCCATGTCCCAGGGTGAATAACAGGCCCCAGCTCATGACTGGTGCTCAGACTTTGTTGAACTATGCGTGAAATTATGAATTTCAGTGGAACCACGGTGCCAGGGCGCAGCTAAGAACTTCAGTGGGGCGCGGCTGGGGCTCACCATGCAGTGCACCACACAGACGTTCTTGTGGTCCTGCCGCAGCCAGGCGTGCATATTCCTGCAGATGTTGTAGAGGGTGTGCAGGTGTGGGGCCCGCCGCGCCGCCCAGCCACACTCGGAGACCTGTGGGGACAGGGCACGGTGACGTGGGCAGCAGAGGAGCCACACCTGGCCTCGGGCCTGCCTGAAGTGCAGGGAACTCAGCTGGCTGGCAGTGTCAACAGCGTCCATCTGTGTGAGAGCCTCAGCAGCGGGACCTGAGCACCAGCCGCCACTGGCCTTGCAGAGAGCTTAGCCAGCTGCTCCCGGGCTTTAGGTCTTCTGCATACCAAGTCTCGTGTCTGGAGGGAAAGCCTTGGCCTCCAGCACCCTCTGGCAGGCGGGAAGCGGGAAGCGGTAGGAGCCGGGGTGTCCGGGTTCCCATCAAGCGGCATCCTCAGTGCAACAGAGATGCCACCTCACTCCCTCCTGCTCCACGCCCTGCAGCCCCTCAGGAGACCTCTGGCCACCCCATCACAGCCCCACCTTGGCCAAAGCCCCCAGCTGCACCCCTGCGCTGGAGTGGGAGGAAGCTGCCACAGCTGCACCCAGACCAAAGCCTGCGGCCACACACCCGGTTGTGAAACCTGGAGGGCCGGTAGGTCCTTGGGGACAGGTTGTAGACGGCATAGTGCCCTGCATGCTTCGAGTCCAGGAAGAGCCGCACATCTTCAATGTTGTTTTTGAGCGCTGACTCCACACCTTCGGCTGGGAATGACATCACTGAAACAAGCAGGCCTGCGTCAGCCGCTGTCCCGGGAGACGGTGCACCTTGTGGCCAGGCAGCTGCTGAGGTCTTGCTGCTCCTGATGCCCCCATGAAAGTGTAGCCTCCGGCAGCTCCACCAGCTACTGGCCACACACCCAGCCATGCGGGCCCCCTCACCCTTCACAGACTCCTGGCCTGGGATGACCTAGGAACACAGACCCAACCACAGGCCCGCCAGCCAGTGACCTGGGGCACAGACCCAGCCACACACCCACCAGCCAGAGACCTACAGGCACAGACCCAGCCACAGGCCCAGCAGCCAGAGACCTACGGGCACAGACCCAGCCACACACCCACCAGCCAGAGACCTACAGGCACAGACCCAGCCACACACCTGCCAGACAGTGACCTACAGGCACAGACCCAGCCACACACCTGCCAGCCAGTGACCTACAGGCACAGACCCAGCCACACACCCACCAGCCAGAGACCTATAGGCACAGACCCAGCCACACACCCACCAGCCAGTGACCTACAGGCACAGACCCAGCCACACACCTGCCAGCCAGTGACCTACAGGCACAGACCCAGCCACAGGCCCATTAGCCGGAGACCTACGGGCACAGACCCAGCCACACTCCCGCCAGCTGGTGGCCAGGACGTCCCAAGACACCTTTCTGATGCCTGCCTGGTCTCCAGGCATCAGGATGAGTGACCGTGATGCCTAGTGCACAGAGGCCTCGGTTTTCCAAGACACGGCCTTATGTTGCTCCCGGCAGGACCGCAGAGTTCAAGAGGGAGCCATGGGAGGCGCCAGACACAGGCCGCCCCTGCGTGTCTGTGGCCACAAAGAAGGCTGGAGTAGAAGTACCCGTGCCCTGACACACAGCAGGGATGCCCTGTGCACACACGGAAGGGCCAGGGCACGTCCCACGGCCTCACGTGGCACACATACCCGCAATCCTGGATGTGATGTAAGATATGTCCAGGTCACCCTTGGCGTAACTGGAATTAAAAAGAAGAGAACTTGGTTATGATGAGAAACACTCTGTAGTGAAGTCACAGGGCTGAAGCTAATGCCTGAGGCCTGGAGAAGCTGTGGAGCTCTCACTGTGGAGGCTGCATCTCATGAGGAGCGTGTGGGCAGGTTCCTGGGTATGTGTGCGCTGCAGAACTGACCCCTAGAAAAGTGGATGGAAATGAGAGCCTGCAGGTAGTGGCGGTGTGGGTGAGACAGGAGGGATGTCCGCTGTCTGGCTGTCCCCTCCCCTGTGCCCTCCAGGGAGGCACGCCCAGGAGGCTGGGAGAAGGCCAGCAACACCGGTGGAAGGAGGGGGCCGGAGAGCAGAGGTCGCCTGGACGGTGGTCACAGGTCGTGCCAGGCTCCAGGGTGCCTCCTGGGCCTGGTGTTCGTAGCAGTGGAAAGCCAGCAGAAGCCACTGGAGGCAGAGAGGACCCCTGCCCCCAACCAAGTGTCTGGGGACCCCCTGCTGTGGCCACAGCCAACTCTCTGCAGAGGAGCCTGCCTCCCAGGGCAGAGCGGGCTGGAAACTGCGGGCACGGGACGGCCGGGCTGGGAGCAACCGCAGCTGGGCTGATCACAGAAGGGCCATCCCCATCAGGGCTAAGCCCGGGAGTCGGAGAGAAATCCCAGAAGAAGGTCCAGAGAGATGAATAACCCAAACGCACACGACCAAACTGTGACATGAAAGCGGCCGTGTGCTCAAATGTTTCAAAAGCTTGTCTAAACCCAAGGGGCAGGTGCGGACTTAGGACGTGGGTCTTCCTAAGCAACAAGGGAAGGTGGGAGGGAGGCACGTGAGCCTGGTGCTCAAGCACTTTGTAGCACAGGATGCCGGGCAAGAGACAAGCAGGCCACACCAAGCGTAGCTACTGGACCCATTATCTCACCACCGGGAGAAAAACAAAAACGGGCCGAGCACAGTGGCTCACACCTGTAACCCTAGCACTCTGAGAGACTGAGGCACGGAGATCACCTGAGGTCAGGAGTTCCAGACCACCCTGGCCAACATGGTAAAACCCCCGCTCCCCAGCACCACAGGAGGCAGAGGCCAGCACAGGGAGCTGACATGCCTTGAGCAAAGGTGGGCGCTGTGAGCCACGGACCATCACATGTCTCACCCACCCCTGCAGCCTGAGGAGGCATGGAACTGGCTGTGCTGGCCTCGGGCATGTGTGCAGGGTGTGTGTGTGTGTTAGGGCTGAACCGAACGCTGACAGGAGAGAAACTAGGCCCTGGAACACCAGGCACCAGGGCAGCCAGGGCTTCACGGTCACCCCGGGTCCCTACTCTTGGACTTGTCCATGGGGAGAGCCAGAAATGCAAATGAATTCACTGTCCTTTTTTGGGGGGCAGGATTTTGCTCTGTCACCCAGGCTGGAGTGCAGTGGTGCCATCCCACCTCACTGCAGCCACAAGCTCCTGGTCTCAAGCGATCTTCCCACCTTGGCCCCCAGTGCAGCACGCCACTTCACCCAGCTAATCTTTTATTTTTGTTGAGACAGGATCTTGCTGTGTTGTCCAGGCTGGTCTCAAACTCCTATCTTCAACGGATCCTCCCTCCTCAGCCTCCCAAAGTGCTGGGATTACATGAGCCACTGTGTTCGGCCACCTCATGAGCCTCCAGGCCCAGCCAGAACTCACTGTGGTTTCTAAGTCAACGAACACGAGTCTAGGCAGCTGTATCTGGCTCAAGCATATGGCGTGAACAGAAGGCAGATTCAAACGGCAGGCCTGCCCTCAGCTGGGACCTGGGAGTGTTGGGAGGGTTCCCACTGTCCCCTGACGAAAAAGTGGCAGCTGGCTATGCCCGAGTGCTGTGCACACAGCGCACGCTCAAGCCAAACTGCGTCCTCTGGGGCCTGGGACCCATGGGTCCCAGCAGAGCCGTTTCTAGAACCGGCCCCTGGGGCCTTAGACTTCCATCAGACAGCAGCTCCCACCATCCTCACAGCTGCTGGGGAGGGGAGTGTGGGCTGGAGACCCCCAGGGAGGACCGTGGGAGCTGTGCCCGGACCCTGGATGCCCCACACGCCTCCTGCCTCTGCTGACTCCATTCTGCCCCATCCCCACAATCCACTGTGGCTGTGGAGACCATGAGTCTGCTGGGAAATCAGGCAGCTGGGGGTGCTACGGGACACAGCATCCATCCCTTTCCTCCAACGCTGAAAGTGGCTACTCCTAGTGACTTTCACACATGGCTTTGCCGTGCATCCTCTCTGTCCGTTCCCACTCTGATCCCAACATCGCTGTTGCCCAGATGACGCTCGAGAGTCTCTTGTCCCCCCTGGGGCAAGGCCAGTCCGGCTGCGCTTCACATGCAGTACCACCAGCCAGGACCCTGCAGGAGCCACAGCCCTGGGCCCAGTGGGCAGTGGGCTGGCCCCTGACAGATGGAGCTTCCTCTGATCTTCCGTCAGCCACAACTCAGGCAGGCGACCTCACAGAGGAGGTGGCCACGGGTGCGAGCGAGCTCACGCCCTGCTCTGGGGACATGCAGGCCCACTAAGAACAGGTTTGTCTCTACAAAAGGTTGCACAGACATGAGGCACACAGTCAATGGCACCAGAGCCAAACGTGCAGCACACATGGACACACACAGCTCACACAGGCACTCGTACACATGCTGACACGTGCACACAGCTCACACACAGGACTCGTACACATGCTGATGCGTGCACACTGCTCACACAGGCACTCGTACACATACTAACACATGCACAGCTCACGCACAGGGACTCATACACATGCTGACACGTGCACACAGCTCACACACAGGGACTCGTACACATGCTGATGCGTGCACACTGCTCACACAGGCACTCGTACACATGCTGACACATGCACACAGCTCACACACAGGGACTCGTACACATGCTGACAAATGCACACAGCTCACACACAGGGACTCGTACACATGCTGACACGTGCACACAGCTCACACACAGGGACTCGTACACATGCTGATGCGTGCACACAGCTCACAAGGCACTCATACATGCTGATATGTGCACACAGCTCACACACAGGGACTCGTACACGTGCTGATGCGTGCACACTGCTCACACAGGCACTCATATACATGCTGACACGTGCACACAGCTCACACACAGGGACTCGTACACGTGCTGATGCGTGCACACTGCTCACACAGGCACTCATATACATGCTGACACGTGCACACAGCTCACACACAGGGACTCGTACACGTGCTGATGCGTGCACACTGCTCACACAGGCACTCATATACATGCTGACACGTGCACACAGCTCACACACAGGGACTCGTACACGTGCTGATGCGTGCACACTGCTCACACAGGCACTCATATACATGCTGACACGTGCACACAGCTCACACACAGGGACTCGTACAAATGCTGATGCGTGCACACAGCTCACACAGGCACTCATATACATGTTGACACGTGCACACAGCTCACACACAGGGACTCGTACACATGCTGATGTGTGCACACAGCTCACACAGGCACTCATACATGCTGACACATGCACACAACTCACACACAGGGACTCGTACACATGCTGACGCGTGCACACAGCTCATACACAGGGACTCATACACATGCTGACACATGCACACAGCTCACACACAGGGACTCGTACACATGCTGACACATGCACACAGCTCACAGGCACTCGTACACATGCTGACACGTGCACACAGCTCACACTCAGGCACTCGTACACATGCTGACACGTGCACACAGCTCACACAGGCACTCGTACACATGCTGACACGTGCACACAGCTCACACAGGCACTCGTACACATGTTGACACGTGCACACAGCTCACACAGGCACTCGTACACATGCTGACATGTGCACACAGCTCACACTCAGGCACTCATACACATGCTGACATGCGCACACAGGTCACACACAGGCACTTGTACACATGCTGACACGTGCACAGCTCACACTCAGGCACTCGTACACATGACACGTGCACACAGCTCACACAGGCACTCGTACACATGCTGACACGTGCACACAGCTCACACAGGCACTCGTACACATGCTGACACGTGCACACAGCTCACACAGGCACTCGTACACATGCTGACACGTGCACACAGCTCACACAGGCACTCGTACACATGACACGTGCACACAGCTCACACAGGCACTCGTACACATGCTGACACGTGCACACAGCTCACACAGGCACTCGTACACATGACACGTGCACACAGCTCACACAGGCACTCGTACACATGCTGACACGTGCACACAGCTCACACAGGCACTCGTACACATGCTGACACGTGCACACAGCTCACACAGGCACTCGTACACATGCTGACACGTGCACACAGCTCACACTCAGGCCCTTGTACACATGACACGTGCACACAGCTCACACAGGCACTGGTACACATGCTGACACGTGCACACAGCTCACAGGCACTGGTACACATGCTGACACGTGCACACAGCTCACAGTTCACAGACACACAGGCACTCCTACACACACCGACATGTGCATGGATCACAGGCACTCGTACACATGCACACAGCTCACATATGCACACATGCTCACATGCACATGCTTGTACACACGAATGCACATGTGCACTCAATACAGTCTCACAGCTCACATGAGCACTCAAGCACCAGCACTCACACACATGCCCATGTCATCTGTACACACACACAAGTATTCACACACATGCATGTTCATAATGCCCATGTCCTCACACGGTCACAGACATATGCTTACACACAGGCACACATGCACCCAATATCACACGTGCAAAGATGCTGGGCCACATGCCGGCACAAGTGCACACGTCTACCTGGTGCTGAGGACACAAAACAGTGATCACCACAGCACAAAGGAAAGAACAAAGGAACATGGCAGAAGGTGTTGCCGGCTGGAAAGAATGCAGTGCCCATGACGGCTGCATGTGGCTCCTGTGTGACAGGCGCCAACGCAGCCCAGCTCCAAGGTTGGTTCCTGACACAGCGGATGCCCTTGAGCTGGTGCATCCGCAGGGACAGACGAGCAGCCAGTGTGCTCCTGGGCATCCAGCTCCTCCAGAAAAGGCAGCACACAGACTCCACGACAGAGGGGCTGCACTCTGGAACACTTCTAGTGTGCTGTGAGCAGAGGCTGCCAGGCCTGTGGGCCGATGTCGGGGGCCAGGGCCACCCCCACAGAGACATGCCCTCCGATGGCCCGCCCACCCAGAGGAAGACTTCCTCCCACCACACGCTCAGACCCACCCACTTGGCCCAAGTCTGAGTCACGAGGGCTTTAACTCAGGGGACTGCCTCAGTTAGGCATCACCACAGCTGTTTCACCCAATTTGCAGCAAACAGTCCCAGGAGCAGCCCAGGAGCACCCAGTGTGAGCGGCGCCATCACAGCAAGTGGAGGGTGGACCCAGGGGTCTCCACAGCAGGGCCCTGCCCCACAGGGGTCAAAGGAAAGAGAGCTGCCTGGCTCGGGGTGCTGGGCCCATTCCGACTCCCTGGGAGAAGGGGGTGATGCTGTCCCATGCCTCGGGGGCTCCTGTGGAGCCTGATGGCCAGCTGTTCCACCGCAGATGGGGAGCGAGAACGGGGACTGAGCCTGGAACGAGCACAGCAGGTCCAGGGCCCTGGGGCCTCACACTTACTTGGCAACAGACTGTATGACCTTGGACGAGGTGTCCCTGAGGTTGGTGAAAAGCCGCTCCGTCCCACCCCGCAGAATGTCCAGGAAGCCGCCATAGGGCTGGTCATACTCCGCCAGGGCCAGGCCTGCAGGGAGATAGTCTCAGCGGGCCACAGGTGCTCTGTCCCACCTCCCCATGTGCACGATGCCAGGTGGCATGGCCAAGCCCCCAACCCACACACCCCCAACAGCAAGCCAGGCTGCAGCACTGGCAGATCTGACCCCTCAGCCTTTCCAGAGACCCACGAAGTGGCCAATCTGGGTGCGGAGGGCTATGTGGCTGCCTCAGCACAGCTTGGGCTGGAAATCTGTCTGCCAGGACAGGCCAGCCTCACCGCCACAGCTTCAAGTCACCACCACCATAGACAGGAACACAGGGTGGCAGCCCCTGAGCTGGAGGGTCCTGGGAGTGAGGTCTTCACAGGCGGCTTTGGTGGCATGAGTCAGTGTTAAAAAAAAAAAAGTGAAACCCTGTCTCTACTAAATATACAAAAGTAGCTGGGCGTGGTGGCGCGCACCTGTAATCTTAGCTACTTGGGAGGCCGAGGCAGAATTGCTTGAACCATGGAGTTGGAGGTCGCAGTGAGCTGAGATCGTACCACTGCACTCCAGCCTGGACGACAGACCAAAACTCCATCTTAAAAAACAACAATAAAAAACAAAGAAAAAACAGGCCAGGCACGGTGGCTCACACCTGCAATCCCAGCACTTTGGGAGGCTGAGGCAGGCAGATCATGAGGTCAAGAGATCAAGACCATCCTGGCCAAATGGTGAAACCCTTTCTCTACTAAAAATACAAAATTAGCCAGGCGTGGTGGTGCAGGCCTGTAATCCCAGCTACTTGGAAGGCTGAGGCAGGAGAAACACTTGAACCCAGGAGGTGGAGGCTGTAGTGAGCCAAGACTGCGCCACTGCACTCCAGCCTGGTGGTAGAGTGAGACTCCATCTCAAAAAGAAACAAACAAAAAACCCCACCTTACCAATGTCCCTCTCGCAGACAGGAGACAGAGGACCCCACCTGACCAACGTCCCTCTCACAGACAGGACACAGAGGACCCCACCCGACCAACAACCCTCTTGCAGACAGGAGACAGAGGACCCCACCTGACCAACATCCCTCTCGCAGACAGGAGGCAGAGGCCCAGGCAGCATGAAGCAGACGGAGGCCCCACAGAACCCGGCACTCGAGGACTCACCCTCCCTCCAGCCAGCAGAGACCCAGCCAGCTGCGCCTGCAGGACCCACTGTGTGGCCTGGGTGCCCCAAACATGGGGCTGAGTCCCTCCCTGGGAGGCAGAGCTGAAGGACCCAGGCGAGCCCTCCCACACGTCAGCAGGGATGTGGGGTGAGGTTGGGAGGGGTCAGGGCCATGTAGAGCTACACACTTAGCCACTGCCTGTCGGGACCATGCCCTCAGTGGCTCCCCCTGGAACCTTACGGAGCACTCCCAGGGCCAGCACAGAGTGCCAAGGGCATGCAGCGTCTGTCTCCCAGGGCCGGCTCCACCCCTCACCGGCTGAGGGCCCTCCAGGGACACCCAGGCCCATCACAGGCGTCTGTTCCTCACGAAGCGGAAGGAACCACCTCACACCAGTAGAACTGTCTCCCCGACCACCCTCGGCTGTGCAATGCGGTTCCTGCACCCCGGCCTCAGGGTCACTGCTGCAGTAAAGGGTTCATCTTGCCCGCAGCAGGCCTGGCCCTTCGTCCCCAGCTCCTGGGAAGGAACCTGGGGTGCCCTCTCACTCCCCAAAAGAGGTGTGTTTCCCTGGGGCCTTGGGCTGTGCCAGACACTACGATGTGATAAACGCTGCTGTCTCCTCAGCCATGGTGCAGGCTGCCTTCCCAACAGGCGCTGCTGTACAGAACCCCTGAGTGAGGCCTTTTCCCTGGGCTAGCTGGAGTCTGACTCCTATCCCCCTTCTGACCGGCACTGAGACACCAGCTTTGCTGAGTCCTGTGAGCCCCAGTGAACCATGGAACCCGAAGGTGGGCCCAGGGACTCCAACCGTGAGAGGAGGCCCCAGGAGGGAAGGCCCTTGGCCTCCGCCCTGATGTCCCGCAGGTGCCTGGGTAGCAGCAGAAGCCAGGGACGGGTGGCGGGCGCAGGACAGGGCACTCACCTCCACCGTAGCCACTGCCTGCGGGGCCCACGGGAGGGGGTGGCCCCCGGGACAGTGCGGCGCTCCCGTAGCCTCCATTCTGCTCCAGGAGCTGTGACAATGAAAACGCAGAGGTCAGGGCTCTAAACCGACATCTCACGCCTGCCCACATGGTGGAGAGGCACAGCACGGGCACCCTTAGAGCCCATCTTCTGCCCACCTACAACACAGTGCAAGGGAGGCACTGCCCACAGGCCAAAGCCTCGGCTGGAGCTCCAGAAACAAAACCACACACGCACTCGGGGAGTGGACACTCAGTCATTTGGAGGAAGCGAGGTCGGCCTCACTCAGGGCCGCTGGGGGTCGGGCATTTGGAGGAAGTGGGGTCGGCCTCACTCGGGGCAGCTGGGGGTCGGGCATTTGGAGGAAGTGGGGTTGGCCTCATACGGAGGCGCCACGGCCACCCAGCGCTCCAGCCCAGCTTTCAAGATTCTTGGGCTGCACATTGTTCCTCTTCATCCTCTGCTTCTTCCCAGTCTGTACAACCATCATTTTTTCTTTTTTGGAGACGGAGTCTCGTTCTGTCACCCAGGCTGGAGTGAAGTGGCACAATCTCAGCTCACTGCAGCCTCTGCCTCCTAACCCGCACCATCTTAGGCAGACACGTGGCCTGTCTGTCCTGGGACGTTCCATCACTTCAGGTTCTGGGTTCTGAAGGCCACCCCGTGGGGCTCACTGCCTCCCGGGGACAGTATTTTCATCTCACTGTAAGCTCAGCCCCATCATGGACTGTTTTCTTGGGGCCTGAGCAGGGGTCTTATGTTTGTCCCTGAGGGCCCCATCACTAGTGGCCTGTCTGCCCATCAGCCCAGCGGCACCTCCTCCTGCCCCACAGAGAACTGCTCCAGCCTGCCAGAAGAAGCGTGAGGCCCGCACCTCCCTGCCAGCCCACTGTCGTCCATGACCTCCGGGGAGTCGACAGGCATTTTCCGTAGAGCCACCGAGGCAGGAGGACGCCAGGCCCAGGCTGCCCTGCTGAAGAGCAAGGCCGCCCAGGAGTGCTTTCCATCTGCTGCTCTCTGACTGGCCCCAGGGAAGCTGCTGAGAGGTCACCAGCGACACCAACTCTCCCACCTCAGAGCGCCCCACACCTCAAAATGCTCCCCATATCCAGCATCGGGTGTCCCTCCCTCCGCTGGTGCACTCACCACGATGGCCACCAGACAGAGGAACCACAGCCTCTCCCCACCTGTGCCTGGCATCCTGGGGCTCCCTTGCTCCAAGGCCTCCACCCCCATGCAGCCCCCACAGGAACTGCAAACCCTCCACTCAGCCCAGACGGTCCTCCCCACACAGGAACTGCAAACCCTCCACTCAGCCCAGACCATCCTTCCTCCACAGGAACTGCAAACTCTCCACTCAGCCCAGACCGTCCTTATCCCACAGGAACTGCAAACCCTCCACTCAGCCCAGACCGTCCTTATCCCACAGGAACTGCAAACTCTCCACTCAGCCCAGACCGTCCTTATCCCACAGGAACTGCAAACCCTCCACTCAGCCCAGACCGTCCTTATCCCACAGGAACTGCAAACCCTCCACTCAGCCCAGACCGTCCTTATCCCACAGGAACTGCAAACCCTTCACTCAGCCCAGACGGTCCTCCCTACACAGGAACTGCAAACCCTCCACTCAGCCCAGACTGTCCTTCCTCCACAGGAACTGCAAACCCTCCACTCAGCCCAGACCGTCCTTATCCCACAGGAACTGCAAACCCTTCACTCAGCCCAGACGGTCCTCCCTACACAGGAACTGCAAACCCTCCACTCAGCCCAGACTGTCCTTCCTCCACAGGAACTGCAAACCCTCCACTCAGCCCAGACCGTCCTTATCCCACAGGAACTGCAAACCCTTCACTCAGCCCAGACGGTCCTCCCTACACAGGAACTGCAAACCCTCCACTCAGCCCAGACTGTCCTTCCTCCACAGGAACTGCAAACCCTCCACTCAGCCCAGACCGTCCTTATCCCACAGGAACTGCAAACCCTTCACTCAGCCCAGACGGTCCTCCCTACACAGGAACTGCAAACCCTCCACTCAGCCCAGACTGTCCTTCCTCCACAGGAACTGCAAACCCTCCACTCAGCCCAGACCGTCCTTATCCCACAGGAACTGCAAACCCTTCACTCAGCCCAGACGGTCCTCCCTACACAGGAACTGCAAACCCTCCACTCAGCCCAGATCGTCCTTATCCCACAGGAACTGCAAACCCTCCACTCAGCCCAGATCGTCCTTCCTCCACAGGAACTGCAAACCCTCCACTCAGCCCAGACCATCCTTATCCCACAGGAACTGCAAACCCTCCACTCAGCCCAGATCGTCCTTCCTCCACAGGAACTGCAAACCCTCCACTCAGCCCAGACCATCCTTATCCCACAGGAACTGCAAACCCTCCACTCAGCCCAGACCGTCCTTATCCCACAGGAACTGCAAACCCTCCACTCAGCCCAGACCGTCCTTATCCCACAGGAACTGCAAACCCTCCACTCAGCCCAGACCGTCCTTATCCCACAGGAACTGCAAACCCTCCACTCAGCCCAGACCGTCCTTATCCCACAGGAACTGCAAACCCTCCACTCAGCCCAGACTGTCCTTATCCCACAGGAACTGCAAACCCTCCACTCAGCCCAGACCGTCCTTATCCCACAGGAACTGCAAACCCTCCACTCAGCCCAGACCGTCCTTATCCCACAGGAACTGCAAACCCTCCACTCAGCCCAGACCGTCCTCCCCACACAGGAACTGCAAACCCTCCACTCAGCCCAGACCGTCCTTATCCCACAGGAACTGCAAACCGTCCACTCAGCCCAGACTGTCCTTATCCCACAGGAACTGCAAACCCTCCACTCAGCCCAGACCGTCCTTATCCCACAGGAACTGCAAACCTTCCGCTCAGCCCAGCCCATCCTTATCCTACAGGAACTGCAAACCCTCCACTCAGCCCAGACCGTCCTCCCCACACAGGAACTGCAAACCTTCCACTCAGCCCAGCCCATCCTTATCCTACAGGAACTGCAAACTCTCCACTCAGCCTGGACTTTCCTCCCCACCAGAAACTGCAAACCCTTCACTCAGCCCAGACCATGCTTTTCCCACAGGCTCCCATCCTCAGACAGGGACTCAGGCAGTAACTGTGACCTTCCCTCCCTGTGCTCCACACCCACTGCCTGGGCCACTGCAATGGCTGAAAAGGGGACAAAACGCAGGAGCCAAGAGTCCTGGGTCCTTGGACACAGACCCCTCTGAGGGCCGCAGCAGGGCCCTGCGTGACCTGACCTAGTCCCTGAGCTGGGATGCCCGGGGGCCTGCCTACTCCCCATGAGGGCCGGGTGGCGCATCTGCTCTGCCTCGAGGGTCTGGTGATGGAGACGGTACTCTCTGTCCACGGCTAGGTCAGAAAAGACCCTGAGAGCATCTTCTGGACATGTGCTGCTGCCTCCCAGGCCTCATACTTACACAAAGCACGCAGCCCTGCTGGCCTGTCTCCCAGCCCGCAGGCCCTGATGCTGCCGGCAGCCACAGGTGCCCAGGAAAGGATCCTGGCCAGGCACAGCCCTGAGATGACTGCAACCAGGAGGCCTGGAGCTGAGGGCCAACTGAGCTGGCCTGGAGATGGGGCCCCAGAAACAGACGCAGTGGTGACTCATGCCACCCCAGGAGGCCCGGAGCTGAGGGCCAGCTGAGCTGGCCTGGAGATGGGGCCCCAGAAACACAGACGCAGGAGCAACTCACACCACCCCGTCAGGGGAAGAATCCAGAAAAGTGCTTGTAGAACTCAAGGCCAGAGGAGTGTGTGCAGAGTGTGAAGACCTTGGTGATGGACCCAGCGTGTCCCCGGGTCTCGGCCCTGGGCTTTGGTGGGGCCCCTGCTCCTGCAGGGACGCAGGGCCCTCAAGAGCTGTGGCTCCACACGAAGTGGGCAGGGACCTCCAGGGTGCAGGGTCCAGATAAAGCGGGGGAGATGTGGGACTCATGGGTACATCGCTCACCTCTGTGATAGGAGACTTGGGGTTCACATTGCGGGCGGCCGCGATCTCCTGCAGCTGATGCACCACCTCAGCGATGGACAGCCGCTCCTCTGGGTTCACCTGCAGCATGGCGCCTGTGGCAGAAGCACAGCGTGTGCTCGGCCCCACGGTTCCCCAGGGCCAGCACCCCTTGCACTGGCAGAGGTCACAGACCACCAGAGGCCACTCCCTCTACACACATCAGTGACTTCAGAGACAAGGAGGGAGCAGCAAAAAAAAGAAAAACCAAACAAAATGATCAAAACCCATCACTCAGAGCACCGCACATTCACCAGCAGGGTGGTCAGCGGGGGAGCTCTGTGGAAGCCACCCCCAGGGACATGTCAAAACCACGGTGATGGGTGGGGTGAGGAGCGCCGCAGGCTGGGCGGGCCTCCAGAGCGAGGCGAGGTCTGTGCTACGGGGTCTTGCCCCATGGACGCATCCCAGCGGGACTTACGGATGAGGCTGTGGAAGACCGTGTACTGCGTGTCGTGCGGGGGGATTGAGTACTTCCCGTTGACTATTCGAAGTTTCGCTCCATCTTCAAAAGGGTGCTGCCGGAAGCAGAGCAGGTACAAGATGCAGCCCAGGGCCTGCGGGGGGACCAGGGGTGATGCTGAGGATGGTGGGGAGGGCAGGGCTGATGCCTAGTACACGGGGAGCGCAGGGGGGATGCTGAGGCTGGTAGGGAGGGCAGGGCTGATGCCTAGTCCACGGGGAGTACAGGGGGGATGCTGAGGCTGGTGGGGAGGGCAAGGCTGATGCCTAGTCCACGGGGAGCGCAGGGGGGATGCTGAGGCTGGTGGGGAGGGCAGTGGTGACCCCTGGGCCTGCGGGTATGTATGAGGGCACGAGATGAGCACTGGAGACATGGAGACTGGCCGAGGGGCGGCTCCTCCCTTGGGGATCCCAGGGGTACAGTCGGTGGTGACACAAGCATGGCCTGGCTGTGTGGAGCTGGCAGCAGCGCTTCCCATGGCCCAGGGAAGCCCAGATGCTCCACCTTTATTCATCACAAAGAACTGTCCAGGCAACAGTGCTAAAGGGACTCCAGGCTCTTCAGATGAAAGGTTCCTTTCACAATTCCAGTGTTTCCACACTCATGCACTGAGGATCATGGGCCGGTGGGACCAGCACAGACCCCACAGTGTACTGCGTGAGGGGCAGGCGCCCGTCCCATCCTCGACAACAGCGAGCCCCACATTTCCGACCGGGGTATAGGGCACGGGGCAGACGCTGCAAGAAGCCGCCGCCTCCATCCACTCAGGGTTTTCACAGAACTGGCCTTCAACAGTCAGCGGTTTATCGTCACTCAATTTTCATGTGAGCCCAGAGAAGGGACTGGTGATCATTTCATTGTCACCAGAACCCCAGGCCGAGCAAGAGCAGGCCAGGAGTGTCCTCGTGTGGGACGGGCAGAAGGCCAGTCACAGGGTTGGGCCAAGAACACAAACAATGACCTTCCACACCTCAAAGGACAGAGGGCCTCCCTCTGCAGCCCCACACGCTGTGATTCTTAGGCAAACACACTACGGAGGACCGAGCACCCCACCTGGTGGCTGAATGATGGGGTGAAGGGACGTCAAAGAACCAGAGGGCAGGGCACCCACCACGCGTGGCCACCCTTGGTCAACGGGGACATGGCCTTAGAGATGTGCAGGGAAAAGGGAGGACACAGGAGACCACCCTGCCCATCAGGCCTAGCCCTCACCCTGGCCCGGCTCTGAACAGGGGAGCTGAGCCTGTCAAGGCTGGGGTGAGGCAGGGACGGGCTGAGGGAAACCTCAGGCAGACCCAGACACACAGGCTCTAAGCCAACCCAGCTGCACAGGACACTCCGACTGCTACTCAGTTCATCCCATTAGAAGCAGTCGCGGTTGGGCAGGGTGCAGTGGCCCAAGCCTGTAATCCCAGCATTTTGGGAGGCTAAGGCCGTGGACTGCTTGAGCTCAGGAGTTTGACACCAGCCTGGGCAACACGGTAAGACCACATCTTCTAACAAAAATACAAAAATATAGCTGGGCACAATAGTATGCACCTGTGGTCCCAACTTGGGAGGCTGAGGTGGGAGGATCCCTTGAACCCAGGGGGTGGGGGTTGCAGTGAGCTTGAGCGGAGGTTGCACCAGTGCACTGGGTGACAGAGGAAGACCCTGACTCCAACAAAAACAAAAATGACAAAAAAAAAAAAAAAAAAAAAAACGTAGTCACAGTGATTCTTAAGGAAAGCAAAAAGAAAAGGGAGAGGAGGGGAGCGGGCGCCAAGGAGGCAGGCCGGTTCTGAGTGGCAGGTGCCCGGTCCACACTGCCTCAGGCCGAGTTGGGGCTTGCAGAGCCAGGAACGACCACTGAGGGGCGCCAGACCTCACCCAGATATCCTGCTTCTCGCCGATGGGGAAGTTCGAATACAAGTCTATGATTTCCGGCGTCCTGTACATTGGCGTCGTATTCCTCGTGATCTGAAAAAACAACATTTCTAAGGGAAAGGCACATCCCACAAACAACACGTTTTATGTTGCATCACTTCGTGCGGCTTTCCAAATGCACAGCAGACCAGGGAGCAGTCCGCCCCGCACACTGTGGGGTGACACTGAGGCCCCGCGATGACCTCGGCCCGCCCAGTCCCACCTCCGCCGTTCATCTTTGGACTCAGCTCGTGCCTTAGCAGGACCGAGTCATTCACCTTCAATCTCCCACGGCCTCCTGGCTTCACGGCACAAGGCACCCACATCTTCGCCTGCCGTGTACCAATTCTGCTTGCTGAGAAGGGTGTGTGCCACCTCACCTGGCACAGGGGCCCCACTCCAGAGTGGCTGTGCCCAGAGCCCCAGGGCACAAGACGGGCACAGGGGGAGGACACCGCCCACTAGATTCACCTGACTGGCTCAAGGTTAATAGGTGAGAGCCTCAGCAACATGTGGGGGCACTTTGAGAGGCAGGGGCTGGGGCCGCACAACCGTGAGGAATAGTGAATCTCGTGTACGGCAGACACACAAACCCCACCCTCCCTGAGGCCGGAACCGTCAGCTACAAATGCAAGACCCGAGAGCAAGAAAGCCCTAGTGCAGACAGCACACCTAACTCCTCCAGCTCCAAGACAGGGTGAGAGCAGGTCACGTGTGCAGGAGACGCGCATCTACCACCCGCCTCTGGAGAAAGGAGCTTGGGAGGAGTGCCAAGGACTCGAGGGGCTCAGAGGAAGGAGGAGCTGTGAGAGAACATGGATGGGGCCACCCTGTGTTCTTAGCTCCACTTCTCTGTATTTTTTAGAGTAGTTGAGGGCAACAGTCTGTTCATATAAATAGGCAGATAAGCCCAAATGCATTTCACGTGAGTAACGGAACCACGACGGAGGAGGAAATGAACCCCAAGACTTCTGTGGGCAACCCTCAACAGCCTGTCCTCAGCCTCGGTGGCAGGTCGGGGGAGAAGGCTCCAGGCGAGCCCTGGACCTTGTAGGGTCCGTCTCCTCGGTGCCAGGGCAGGTGGTCCTGGGTCTGTGGGCTGTGCGGATGCTGGCCAGGCCCTCACTGAGGAGGGACCGTGGCCCCATGGTCGTGCTAGAACTGCAGGTGCAAGGCCCATGGCTCTGCCCTGAGGACAGTGTGTGCTGTGTGGGTGTGAGCACCGTGTACTGTGCACAGCATGTGGGCTCAGAGGGCCTGGGGGGCTCCTGGCCTCCGTCCTCAGACGCTCCCTGCCCCCACCATTCCTCATTATTTTCTGTTCTGCATGTTTTGTACAAGTTATGTGCATTTCTTATACAGTGCAAGTTACCTGCAGACAAATGCAGAGGTTGCAATTGAGTAGCCTGGGGAGACTGCGGAAAGGATGTCCCTGACCCCAGCAGCACCTGGGTCCCACAGCCTGTACTGCTGCCCATCCCGGAAACCCCTGCCCAGCAGCCAGCGCCAAAGGCAGCTCTGCTGGGTGCCTGCCTCCTTTTGGTCTGAGTCTGTCCCTCAGGGGTGCGAGGACCCATCCAGGCTGCCACAGGATGCATCTGTTCATGCCCAGAGGACACGCCACCCAGTCTCTCATGCAGATACAGTGCTAAGTGATTTTATAAGAAAGTTAGCCATTTTGTGTTTTAAAAGATAAGAGAGTTCTGGAGATTGATGGTGAACAACTCTGCAGATGTGTTTCTGCCACTGAGCCACCCATTTACAATGGCCACACTGATAAAACACTGTTATGCACATCTTACCACTATCAAAAAATCCCAGAAAAAATAGCCCTGCAACATTCAGAGGCGGGTTTGGGAGGAGGACGGAGGTGAAATGCGGTGTTCCACGTTTCAGGATGTCGACCTGGGGGACGGATGTGAAATGTGGTGTTCCACGTTTCAGGATGTCAGCCTAGGGGGACGGATGTGAAATGGGGTGTTCCACGTTTCAGGATGTCAGCCTAGGGGGACGGAGGTGAAATGCGGTGTTCCACGTCTCAGGTTGTCAGCCTAGGGGGACGGAGGTGAAATGCGGTGTTCCACGTTTCAGGATGTCAGCCTAGGGGGATGGAGGTGAAATGCGGTGTTCCACGTTTCAGGATGTCAGCCTAGGGGGACGGAGGTGAAATGCGGTGTTCCACGTCCACATTTCAGGATGTCAGCCTGGGGGGACAGAGGTGAAATGCGGTGTTCCACGTTTCAGGATGTCAGCCTAGGGGGACGGAGGTGAAATGCGGTGTTCCACGTCCACATTTCAGGATGTCAGCCTGGGGGGACAGAGGTGAAATGCGGTGTTCCACGTTTCAGGATGTCAGCCTAGGGGGACAGAGGTGAAATGCGGTGTTCCACGTTTCAGGATGTCAGCCTAGGGGGACGGAGGTGAAATGCGGTGTTCCACGTTTCAGGATGTCAGCCTAGGGGGACGGAGGTGAAATGCGGTGTTCCACGTTTCAGGATGTCAGCCTAGGGGGACGGATGTGAAATGCGGTGTTCCACGTTTCAGGATGTCAGCCTAGGGGGACAGATGTGAAATGCGGTGTTCCACGTTTCAGGATGTCAGCCTAGGGGGACGGATGTGAAATGCGGTGTTCCACGTTTCAGGATGTCAGCCTAGGGGGACGGAGGTGAAATGCGGTGTTCCACGTCCACATTTCAGGATGTCAGCCTGGGGGGACGGATGTGAAATGCGGTGTTCCACGTTTCAAGATGTCAGCCTAGGGGGACGGAGGTGAAATGCAGTGTTCCACGTTTCAGGATGTCAGCCTAGGGGGACGGAGGTGAAATGCGGTGCTCCACGTCCACATTTCAGGATGTCAGCCTAGGGGGACGGAGGTGAAATGCGGTGTTCCACGTTTCAGGATGTCAGCCTAGGGGGACGGAGGTGAAGTGCGGTGTTCCACATTTCAGGATGTCAGCCTTGGGGGACAGATGTGAAATGCGGTGTTCCACGTCCACATTTCAGGAAGTCAGCCTTGGGGGACGGATGTGAAATGCGGTGTTCCACGTCCACATTTCAGGATGTCAGCCTGGGGGATGGATGTGAAATGCGGTGTTCCACGTTTCAGGATGTCAGCCTTGGGGGATGGATGTGAAATGCGGTGTTCCACGTCCACATTTCAGGGTGTCAGCCTAGGGGGATGGTGGTGAAATGTGGTGTTCCACGTTTCAGGATGTTGGCCTGGGGGGACAGAGGCGAAATTCGGTGTTCCACGTTTCAGGATGCGGCACCTGACCGGGACTCGGATGTTGGCCTGGGGGACGGATGTGAAACGCGGTGTTCCACGTTTCAGGGCATGGCAGCTGACCGGGCGTGGATGTCAGCCTTAGGGGATAGAGGTGAAATGCAGTGTTCCACGTTTCAGAATGTCGGCCTTGGGGGACAAAGGTGAAATGCGGTGTTCCACTTTTCACGATGCGGCACCTGACCAGGACTCCGATGTAGGCGTGGGGGATGCTGCTGAGGTTCTGGCTCCAGGATGGCTGCAGGTCCCCACTCAAAACACCACGGCAGCAAGCAGAGTGCTCAGGGTGCAGACCCCAGGGAGGGCCGGCTTCCCCAGCACAGGCCCTGCTCAGCCCACCCAGCAGGGAATACAGCACTCAGGGCGAGGAACACAGAGAGGGCCGGCTTCCCCCAGCACAGGCCCTGCTCAGCTCACCTCTTCCTCCACCAGGGCTCGCCTCTGCGCACTCCAGCTGTAGTCAGGGTAGTGAGAGATGGTCGTGGCGCTGCCAAAGTCACACAGCTTGATGGTCCCTTGGTTACTAACTAACAAATTCTCAACCTGTAAAATTCCAGAAGACAAGCCTGTGAACCTGATGTGGACAGAGACACTTCAGGGAAAAACGAACGGGTGTGAGACACAGCCAGGGCCCTTCCCAGACAGCCCTCACCCAGGGCCACAGCTGCCGGGTACCCTCCAGCACCTCCCACTCATGGACACAGCCAGCTCTGTACTGGCCAGCAAGGGGTGCAGGGGCCGCTCTAGGCCTATGCAGAGGGGCTCTGGCAGGCAGAGGGGCCCAGACCAAGAAGCAGGCCCCGAGGGGCTGAGGAATTTCACAGAGGTCAGTAAAGGGGTCTTCCTCAAACGTGTCTTAAATTACTTATGATCAAATATAATGTGTGTAATTCAGAAAAATAAAAGCAGAAAATCAAAAAAACCAACCATAACTCAAGGAAAGATAACTCAATTAATAATGTGGCACATGAGGCTGGGTGTGGTGCCTCACGCCTGCGATCCCAGCACTTTGGGAGGCCGAGGCGGGAGGATCGCATGAGGTCGGGAGTTCAAGACCAGCCTGGCTAACGTGCTGAAATCCAGTCTCTACAAAAATACAAAAATTAGCCAGTGTGGTAGTGGGTGCCTGTAGTCCCAGCTACTCGGGAGGCTGAGGCAGGAAAATCCCATGAACCTAGGAGGTGGAGGCTACAGTGAACCAAGATCGTGCCACTGCACTCCAGCCTGGGCAACAGAGAGAGACTCCCTCTCAAAAAATAAAATAAAAAATGTATATTGAGACACAAAGAAGCAGAAAGGGCCCCATAATGGTGAAGTCACGTTATAGCCCATCATGCAGCTCTGGCAGGCCCAAGAGGGTATCCAGCGAGCACACTGAGAGGCCACAGACGTCAGCGGCTGCACGCACGACAGGGCAGCAACGTGGCACTCAGTCCAGCCGCCAGCACCGGGTGACCACCAGAACAAAGGAGAAAGCCTCATCCCCAGCTCACACAGTCAGGGAAGCCTCAGCCCCAGCTCACATAGTCAGGGAAGCCTCAGCCCCAGCTCACACAGTCAGGGAAGCCTCAGCTCCAACTTTAAGGCAAACCACAGCTCTCTCGGCAGATGGCCCACAGGAGCTCCTCCTGAGCTAGGGAAGGAGTGGCTTCCTCAACAAGATACAGATATCAGACATGGAGGAGGCCAGCACAGGCATCCCCTCTGGAGAGAAAGAGCTGTGCCAGCACAGGGCTCCGGGAAGGCAGCATGACCACCACAGATGGAAGGTGCTCGGCATGCATGTGGCCAGCACAGGTTCCCACAGGCAGCGAGGGGAAGGCAGACACTCCCCCAGAGGATGCCCAGGTTCTGACGAGCCAGCCTCATCGACAGGAGAAAAATGCAAACTAAGGCCACGGGCACCCTGGACAGGCTGAGGGAGCAGCACCCACCATGCCCCAGGCGGGCAAAGCGTGGAATCGCAGCATCCGAGAGTGCAGAGGACGCCCAGGGTTGGCTGCAGATGCCCTCCGACCACAGAACCCTGCAGGCCCCTGTCCTACAGAGAACACCTGTTCCATGGACCAGCAAGCTGGACGGGCTGTCCATAGGTGCAGACAGGAGGGCTCGTCGTGAACAAGAGAAGGAAACGGACACACATGCTACCCACGGCAGACCACAGGGAACCCAGTGAAGCCCATGCCCACCATGGGCCTGTGAGGTAGTGCGGGACACACGTGGAACAGGGCTGAGCAAGAGAATCAAATGCAGAGTGGGGCCTGGCTCTACCCACAGGACATCCAGGGGAGAAAAGATGAGCGCCTCTGGCTCGGATGCAGACCACACAGAGGGAAGCAGCAGCAGCGCGCAGTGCCTGAGGCCCAGGAGCGCCCTCGCCCCCACACAGGCACCCGTGCCCACTTACAGCCAGTAGAGATGAAGCACGGGGCTGGCACGTGGGGCATGCACTGCCTGCCCCTCCGCAGACAGCCACCCAGACTCCTGCAGCAGAGGACGAGGGACATGCCCAGACTCCTGCAGCAGAGGACACGGGACCCACCCAGACTCCTGCAGCGGAGGACACGGGACCCGCCCAGACTCCTGCAGCGGAGGACACGGGACCCGCCCAGACTCCTGCAGCGGAGGACACGGGACCCGCCCAGACTCCTGCAGCGGAGGACACGGGACCCGCCCAGACTCCTGCAGCGGAGGACACGGGACCCGCCCAGACTCCTGCAGCGGAGGACACGGGACCCGCCCAGACTCCTGCAGCGGAGGACTCAGGATGCTCCCAGACTCCCAGGGGAATGCGGGGCTGCAGTGCGGCCCGGGCTCCTGCCACAGAGCCATGGAACAGCAGCAAAGACCAGTGCTGTGAAGTGCGGGGCTGGCTCACAAACAGATTGTTCATGAACTTTAACCTTCTGTTTCTGTTTTCCTTAAAATACACACAAGCACCATTACACAATCCATCACACTTCAAAAACGTGAAGCAGGAGGGTCTCGGTGCCACTGACAGTCTCCTCAGGAAGAACTAGCCAGATGGCCAACGGGACCATCCACGGGCAGCACCTGCCGGGCCTGTAGCCCCGAAGCCCCTTCTCGCCAGAATGGGGCCTCAGGCACATCTATTTCTGGAAACCAGGGGTCTTGTTTACAACCTTGAAGAACCTTCCCTCAAAAGCAACCCTGTGTGCTGGGCACAATGTGTTTTTAGAAAAGGAAAGAAGAAACAGAAGGAAGAGAGGGAGGAAGGGGAGGAGCAGGAGCAAAAGGGCCTCAGGCATGGCTGGGGGAGGCTCCAGGATGGTGCCCACAGGCTTCTGCCCTGGGGCATCTGTCCAGCCGGTCACCTTACACCCTGGCTTTCTAGGCCCTCTGAGGTCAGGGGACAAATGAAAAACGCCATACGTATCCATAATGAAAATCTGCGTGAAGACCCATTTGCTATAAAGTAGGAGCACACAGCGAAGCAGGGAAAAGGCAGCCGTAACCAGAGACATGCAGAGTGAAACTCCCACCAGAGACCAGGTCCTGGTGGGCTGACAAGGAACGAGCTGTGCAGGAAAAGCAGCTCAGCCTGGCCACCCAAGGCTTGGGGCCCCCATTCAGGGCACACAAGGAGAGCCATGGCCTCGGGCCCCCCACCCAGGGCACATGAGGAGAGCCACGGCCTTGTGTCCTCCACCCAGGCACACAAAGGGAGCCACAGCCTTGTGCCCCCCTACCCAGAGCACGTGAGGAGAGCCAGGGTGCTCTCGGGCCTCCTAGGCACCTACAAGCCTCCTGGCTCCTAGGCACCAGATGCTGGAGGGGAGGCGGGGCCTAGGCGGCCCCACGGACACACACAAGCCAATGCACTAGGTGTAGGTGGACAAAAGGACATGGCTCCCACCTCGAGTCACATGAGGTCAATTACTCTGGACACAGACCAGGTGGATTTCAGCTCCTGGGAGGAGAGGCTAAGGTGGGTGCTGGGAGCAGGACCTGAAACACAGCTCTGTGCTCCACAAGAGACACCACGGGGCTGTGGCCTCACTGGCCCCCTTGTCCCCTTGGCCTGAGCAGTGTTAGGGAGCCAAGGCCAGCACAGGGCATCCTCCATGAGCTGTGGCCAAAGGCATCACTCTAGATTAAAGAGGTCTGAGAGCAGCTGCACTTTGGGAAAACCAGGGAAGGCTGAGAACGGGAGAGCAAGAGACGGTGCTCCGTTCCACACACCTCACTGTGGATAATGGCATCTAAATCACATAAGGAATGTCCTGGCCGGGCACGGTGGCTCACACCTGTAATCCCAGCACTGTGGGAGGCCGAGGCGGGTGGATCACAAGGTCAGGAGTTCGAGACCATCCTGGCCAACATGGTGAAACCCCCTCTCTACTAAAACTACAAAAGTTAGCCAGGTATGGTGTCAGGAACCTATAGTCCCAGCTACCCAGGAGGCTGAGGCAGGAGAATCGCTTGAACTTGGGAAGCAGAGGCTGTAATGAGCCAAGATTGAGTCACTGCGCTCCAGCCTAGGTGACAGAGCAAGACTCTGTCTCAATTAAAAAAAAAGAGAGAACTGTCCTCACATCCCCAAAGACATGGACAAAAGTATCTGGGAGCGAAGAGGCTTTAAACTCTTCAGCAGGCCGGGCACAGTGGCCCACACCTGGAATCCCAGCAGTTTTGGAGGCTGAGGCAGGTGGATCACTTGAGCTCAGGAGTTCGAGACCAACCTGGCAACGTGGTGAAACCCCATCTCTACTGAAAATACAAAAACGAGGCAGGCGTGATGTGCGCCTGTGGTCCCAGCTACTCCGGAGGCTGAGGTGGGAGGACCGCTGGGCCCAGTTGGTGGAGGCAACAATGAGGCTTGTTAGTGCCGCTGCACTCCAGCCTGGGCTGCATAGCCAGGCTCTGACTCAAAAAGACCCCCAAAAACCTCTTCAGCAAAGCAACTGCTTCAGCCAGGAACACGGGGCCACCATGGGGAGGGCAGGGCCGCTGTGAGGAGAAGAGAATGGGGCGCCGTGAGGAGGATGGGGCCACTGTGAGGAGCACAGGGCCACCATGGGCAGACTGGGCACAGGCTTCATCACGAAGTCCTGGGTTTTTTAAAAGACACCACAGCAGGAGTGAAAACTGGGCCCCAAACCAGAAGACGCCTTCGGCACAGGTGACGTTTAAGATGATGAGAACACATCAGCTGTCCCAACGCACCAAACACACGAACCGGTGGGAAAAACTTTTTAAAAGGCAAGAAACAAAAAGAAGTTGACTGAAGAGCGAGGCTGCAGTGACTTGAGCAAACACTGAACTTCATTAATATCAGGAAAAGGCAAATCACAAGCCATCAGCCTGCACCACCCACCAGGCCAGCCCAAATCAACAGAGGCAACTCCAGCACAGACAGCCCACAGGGTGGGAGTGTCCTCGGTGGGGCTGTGCGGGGTGGGAGTGCCCTCGGTGGGGCTGTGGGAGTGTCCTCGGTGGGGCTGTGGGAGTGTCCTCGGTGGGGCTGTGTGGGGTGGGAGTGTCCTCGGTGGGGCTGTGGGAGTGTCCTCGGTGGGGCTGTGTGGGCTGGGAGTGTCCTCGGTGGGGCTGTGTGGGGTGGGAGTGTCCTCGGTGGCGCTGTGGGAGTGTCCTCGGTGGGGCTGTGTGGGGTGGGAGTGTCCTCGGTGGGGCTGTGGGAGTGTCCTCGGTGGGGCTGTGCGGGGTGTGAGTGTCCTCGGTGGGGCTGTGCGGGGTGTGAGTGTCCTCGGTGGGGCTGTGGGGCAGTGGGAGTATCCTCGGTGGGGCTGTGGGGTGGTGGGAGTGTCCTCGGTGGGGCTGTGTGAGGTGGGAGTGTCCTCGGCGGGGCTGTGGGGGGTGGGAGTGCCCTCGGCGGGGCTGTGGGGGGTGGGAGTGCCCTCGGCGGGGCTGTGGGGTGGTGGGAGTGCCCTCGGCGGGGCTGTGTGAGGTGGGAGTGTCCTCGGCGGGGCTGTGTGAGGTGGGAGTGTCCTCGGCGGGGCTGTGTGAGGTGGGAGTGTCCTCGGCGGGGCTGTGTGAGGTGGGAGTGTCCTCGGCGGGGCTGTGTGAGGTGGGAGTGTCCTCGGCGGGGCTGTGGGGGGTGGGAGTGCCCTCGGTGGGGCTGTGTGGGGTGGGAGTGTCCTCGGTGGGGCTGTGTAGGGTGGGAGTGTCCCCGGTGGGGCTGTGTGGGGTGGGAGTGTCCCCGGTGGGGCTGTGTGGGGTGGGAGTGTCCTCGGCGGGGCTGTGGGGGGTGGGAGTGTCCTCGGTGGGGCTGTGTGGGGTGGGAGTGTCCTCGGTGGGGCTGTGTGGGGTGGGAGTGTCCTCGGCGGGGCTGTGGGGGGTGGGAGTGCCCTCGGTGGGGCTGTGTGGGGTGGGAGTGTCCTCGGCGGGGCTGTGGGGGGTGGGAGTGCCCTCGGCGGGGCTGTGGGGGGTGGGAGTGCCCTCGGTGGGGCTGTGGGGGGTGGGAGTGTCCTCGGCGGGGCTGTGGGGGGTGGGAGTGCCCTCGGCGGGGCTGTGGGGGGGTGGGAGTGTCCTCGGCGGGGCTGTGGGGGGTGGGAGTGCCCTCGGTGGGGCTGTGGGGGGTGGGAGTGCCCTTGGTGGGGCTGTGGGAAGCAGCCATGTCACACGGAAAACCATATGGTGCCAGCGGCTGCAAGGAGCACAGGCCCAGCCCCAGCCCAGAGCAGCTTCGTGGTGGTGTGGTGGGCAGGGCGGCCCTTTACATGCGGCCAGTGGCTCACACCCACATAATGGCAATCCCCGGATACCACGCCTTGGAGAAACCCATGGTGACAGGAGAGGTGGGCAGGGAGTCTGCCCGTGAACAGAATGGGAGCTGCAGTGGGGGAACAGTCATGAAGTGCAGGGAGCTCCTCTCAAGCTGAACAGATAAGGGGTCCAGCCACCCCCCCGTCAAGTGCCTGAGACAGGGCCAGGCAGAGGAGCACCCAGCTTCCTCCGGGATCCAAGAGGAGCCGCTGCAGGGTCCAAGACTGCCCAGGGGCCAAGGAATGGGGACAGAGTGACCAGGAGTGGGGGGCTAGGGCTGACACCACTGGGGGGGGGTTGTGTAGGAGTGGGGGGCCCAAACTGACACCACTGGTGAGCAGCCTTGTCCGCAGCTCCCCACAGAGATGGGAGTGAGCAAGCGCCCAGCATGGGGACCTGGATTTCCAGACGGAAGCTCCAGGCTGTGAACACCCCCATCAGGAGTGAAGGGCCCTCGCATGGAGGTGGGTCCATCCCCACTGTGGGCAAAGGCCTGTGAGACAGGCGGTAATTCTCTTCAGGCTGGAAAGGCAGTTTCTGGAAGATCCGCCTCCACTGTTGAGAAGCTCATCTTCTCTGGTGAAAAGACACAGCCTCATCTGCCACACATCCACCTCCTCACCACGGAGACCCATGCATGGAGGCTGAGCAGCTGGAGTCGGGAGTGGGGGCCACTACCCTGAGGTCCTGGTGGATGATGGGAGTGGGGCTGCTACCTTGAGGTCCCGGTGGATGATGGGTGGGGAGTGTGGCCAGTACCTGAGGTCCCGGTGGATGATGGGTGGGGAGTGGAGCCACTACCCTGAGGTCCCGGTGGGTGATGGGTGGGGAGTGGGGCTGCTACCTTGAGGTCCCGGTGGGTGATGGGTGGGGAGTGTGGCCAGTACCTGAGGTCCCGGTGGATGATGGGTGGGGAGTGGAGCCACTACCCTGAGGTCCCAGTGGGTGATGGGTGGGGAGTGGGGCTGCTACCTTGAGGTCCCGGTGGGTGATGGGTGGGGAGTGTGGCCAGTACCTGAGGTCCCAGTGGGTGATGGGTGGGGAGTGGGGCTGCTACCTTGAGGTCCCGGTGGGTGATGGGTGGGGAGTGTGGCCAGTACCTGAGGTCCTGGTGGATGATGGGTGGGGAGTGGAGCCACTACCCTGAGGTCCCGGTGGGTGATGGGTGGGGAGTGGGGCTGCTACCTTGAGGTCCCAGTGGATGATGGGTGGGGAGTGTGACCAGTACCCTGAGGTCCCAGTGGATGATGGGTGGGGAGTGGAGCCGCTACCCTGAGGTCCCGGTGGGTGATGGGTGGGGAGTGGGGCCACTATCCTGAGGTCCCAGTGGATCATGGGTGGGGAGTGGAGCCGCTACCCTGAGGTCCCGGTGGGTGATGGGTGGGGAGTGGGGCCACTATCCTGAGGTCCCAGTGGATGATGGGTGGGGAGTGGAGCCGCTACCCTGAGGTCCCGGTGGGTGATGGGTGGGGAGTGGGGCCGCTACCCTGAGGTCCCGGTGGATGATGGGTGGGGAGTGGGGCCGCTACCCTGAGGTCCCTGTGGGTGATGGGTGGGGAGTGGGGCCGCTACCCTGAGGTCCCTGCGGGTGATGGGTGGGGAGTGGGGCTGCTACCCTGAGGTCCCTGTGGGTGATGGGTGGGGAGTGGGGCCGCTACCTTGAGGTCCCGGTGGATGATGGGCGGCTTCTGCCGGTGCATGTGCTGCACCGCCCGGCACGTCTGGTAGAAGATCTTCAGAACCGTGTCACATGACAGCGGACCTCGAGACTCCATTTTCTTTAAAAATTCCACCAGCTGCCCTAGAAGAGAACGAGACTCACACTGAGGGAACAGGGTCTGGAGGCCAGAACCTAAGACCGCATCATGGGACTTCCCCAAACTACACCGAAAGGAAAACCCTCACTTTCCAGCCCAAGCAACAAAAGGACCAGAGGCGACTCCCCTTGACCTTTCCTGCCTGGCAGTCGGGACACTTGCAGATGCGAAGTGGACTTGGCCACACGGGAGACTTCCTGAAGGCCGGGTCTGCATTTGCGACCGCGTGACCACCTAGATCGGTGTTTGCACAGAAGCCACCCCTTTGTGACTTGACCTCATGCTCGGGCTGGCTGCTGTCTGCAACGTCAGACCAACTGTGGCTCCCACGTCACCGACGGGAGGGAACAGGAGTGGCCGGGAAGAACCTCTGGAGTTACTTGGACCCAGGAAGACTCTGCTCAGGGCGCCCACACGGTGGCATGCACTTCTGTTTTCAACAGACCCTGCGTTTGTTCTGGTGTTGCCTCTTTCCTTGCTTGGACAGGGAGTGCTGTCCAATTCTGTGTTCAAAACGCCAAGAACCTGGACGACCTGCAGCCACCACCCTCTACCATTACACCATCGCCATGGAGCCACTAACAGCGCTCTGCCCTCCCTGGCCCAGGCTACGTTATGGACCCTGCCACACTGGGACGCTGCCTTTTCCAGCCACAGGCTGAGTCAAGCCCACCCTAGGCACTTGTCCTGTCTTTCCTTCAGCTGCTAAGAAGGGGTTGCAGGTATGAGAATGCCCACCACAGCCCCGGGTACGAGACCCCCACCCAGCAGCAGAAGCCCCACAGTCAAGTGACACAGAGCAGAGGCCGGTGTGCACCACGCGCCGTGAACATGGGAACCACAGCCAGGCGTCACCAACACGGATGGAAGACAAGTGACCACAAACACACAAGTGCTGAATCCTCCAAGTGAACACTCAGTGTCCTTAGATGACAGACGATCACTTCACATTCGCAGTCTCAGCCTATGCGTGGCCCACACCCCAGGGACCCCATCCTGCTGTGGCTGGCTCCTTCCAGCCCCCATGCCCTGGCCTAACCAGGAAACCAAGGAGGGCCGGGGTGGCAAACAGGGCTGAGGACCTGCTGGGGCCCAGAGCATTCACACTATGAGTCACCCCAGCACCCCTATGCAGCCCCCACCGATGTCTAGACCCAACCCATCCTGCTGCTACCCTGGTCTTACGCTGGGTCCTGCCAATTTCAGCTGCCTACAGCCCAAGCATGGCAGCATCCCTGGGGCTCTGACTCCTGCGCCCCAGCTGTTCGGCCCCATGCTCCTGCCCAGCTGCTGTCACCCTCTGCTCAGCCCACTCCATGCCCCTGATGGCCACCACCCATGCAGCCGCAGAGCCCAGACCATCACCACCACCCACGGGACCCGCCCAGGGCCTCCCCCATGCTGCCTGACCTTGCACCCTCAGCCACACCAGCCTCCCTCCCCCACCCCGGACCCTCACACACTGCTCTTGCCACCAGAATGCTTCCCATACCGCCCTTCCGCTCACCTCCCAGGGAGCCAACTCCACCCACACCCCCTAAACGTGCACCCTTCCCCATGACTCATTCTCTCCTGGGTTCTTGGGGCCACCCAACAATCTGGTGTAGGCTTGGATCAGCTGTGTGGCGAGTCACTGAGACTCTGGTGCCTGCACATAGCAGAGTGTGCATACAACTCAATTCAACCACTCAGCAGACGCAGCCCTGCCATCTAAGGCCCAGTGTGAGAGAACAGACAATGTGAACGTGAGAACATGAGGACGTGAAGGCCCGGCGTGAGATCACAGGCGGCGTGAGCGTGAGGACGTGAAGGCCCGGCGTGAGATCACAGGCGGCGTGAGCGTGAGGACGTGAAGGCCCGGCGTGAGATCACAGGCGGCGTGAGCGTGAGGACGTGAAGGCCCGGCGTGAGATCACAGGCGGCGTGAGCGTGAGGACGTGAAGGCCCGGCGTGAGATCACAGGCGGCGTGAGCGTGAGGACGTGAAGGCCCGGCGTGAGATCACAGAGACAACACAAATGTGAGGATGCTCACCGCAGCTCGGGCTGGCCACGTTGGAATTGACTCACAGATGGGACGTGCCAGATGTCACGAGCACAGCCCAGTGCGGCCTCCACCTGCCGCCGAGTCTCCAGGCACCCAGCTCTGCGGCCCTGACCCTCAACCCCAGGTAAGAGCCCCCCCTCCAGTCCCACCACAGCTGCCTCAAAAGCTTTGTGCCTGACTCTGTGCCCAGAGAAACGGGGTGCTCAGCCAGAGGAACAGACCCAGGAGAGGCTGAGGCCAGGCCTGGGGATCAGCCTGCCCTCTAGGCTGGCTCTGGCAACACAGGTGGGACGAGTCCGTGTCAGTGGTAACTGGCCCCTGTTCAGTGCCTCATTCTCAGTGAGAATAAACAGGGTTTTAAAAGTAAAAGTTCTGTATGCGGCCAAGTGGGGAACAGCTGTATGGCTCTTCCCTCAGAGGGCACTGGAGGGGATGCTTCACAGGAGGGCCGGGCACATGTCTGGAGCCTGCCTCGAGGCCTCCACCAGTGAGGCCTGTACCTGCAGCTGCACAAGGTGCCCATGTCCTTCCCGCTTCTCAGAGACGCCGTGGCTCTCCCCAGCACAGCTGTGCCATCCACAGAGCCCTGCGGCTCAGCTCTCCAGCCGCACACCCAGCTCCAGGTGGGCAGTCCCAGGAGTGTGCCAGCAGGTGCACGTGCTAGTTTGCCTCCTGCATTTATGACTTGAGGGGCTGGGCCTGACCCCTCTCCCTCCCACGGCATCCCATGCAGGGGCGGCACTGAGCCGCTGGCTCCACCCCTCCCCACCACCCTAGGAATGCACTGGAAACGAGTGGCTTCCATTCTCATACCCGTCCTGCTCAACCTTCCAAAGCCAGGATGTCTGCAACCGAGATTGCCCCTTGCAAAGGCGTTCTCACCTCTCAAATGATAAGCAAGGGACATAATCAGCAAACCATCCATCACTGGACCCACAGGAAGCCCGTCTGGGCTTTATCCAGGCTGAACCAAATGCTGGGCAGACGGTGGGCAAGGCTCACACTGCAGCAACTGCAGCTCCAGGAAGCCTGCAGGCCAACACACAGAGGGCCTCGGATGCAGCCACACCAGCCTTCAGGATGGAATGAGGCGAAGGCACTGTGTGGAACGACGCCGGAGCAGGGTGCTCTCGCCAGTGATCCCAGCGCTTCAGGAGGCCTCGGTGGGAGGATCACTTGAGCCCAGGAGTTCAAGACTAGCCTGGGCAACATAGCAAAACACCTCTACAAAAATACAAAACTTGGCCAGGCACAGTGGCCAACACCTGTCATCTCAGTGCTACAGGAGGTCAAGATGGGCAGGTCGCTGGAGCTAGCGAGTTTCAGACCAGCCTGGCAACACGGCGAGACTCTGTCTCTAAGAAAATCTCACTCTTTAAAATTAAAGAGTAGTCATGCACACCTGTAGTCCCAGCTAGTCCAGAGGCTAAGGCGGGAGGAATGCTGGAGTGCTGGATTTTGAAGCTACAGTGAGCTATGAACCACTGCACTCCAGCTTGGGCAACAGAACAAGACCCTGTCTCCAAAAAATATGTCTGAGAGGTCAGGCATGGTGGCTCATGCCTGTAATCCCAGCACTTTGGGAGGCTAAGGCAGGTGATCACCTGAGGTCAGGAATTCAAGACCAGCCTGACCACCATAGAGAATCTCCATTTCTACTAAAAATAAAAAATTAGCTGGGTATGGTGGTGCATGCCTGTAATCTCAGCTACTCAGGAGGCTGAGGCAGGAGAATTGCTTGAACCTCGGAGGCAGAGGCTGCGGTGAGCCGGTATCGTGCCACTGCACTCCAGTCCAGGTGACAAGAGCAAAACTCTGTCAAAAGTACACACACACACACACACACACACACGTAAATATATGCGCCTGATACAGCAAATTTTTTTAAAAAGGAGAATTACATGAAGTAGAATCTCATTCCTATAAGCACCCATACAACTCTGTGCTGCTGTTTTGAGAGGGAGTCTCACTGTCACTTAGGCTGGGGTGCAGTGGTGCGACCTTGGCTCACCGCAACCTCTGCCTCCCAGGTTCAAGCAATTACCTTGGCCTCCCAAAAGTGCGGGATTGCAGGCATGAGCTGCCGCGCCTGGCCTAACTCTGTGTTGCTTGTATTTTGTCAGTGAGTACGTTCTTTCATAATGAAAGCTGATGACAATGGGAGACACCATGGAGCGCGAGGCCCATGGCGCTCGTTTCACGCAGCATGAATTCACAGGATGAATTCACATCTCACCAGTCTCAGCACCTCCCAGCTACGAGGAGGTCCCAGAAGCACAGCCCAGGAGCTGGTGTCAGAGCCTAGAAACATCCAGGGAAAAATGTGTCATGAACAACAGAGACTAACACACATCGCAGCCGACCACACAGAGGAGCCTTGGTGGGGCCCTGGTGTGTATGAGGGAAGGGGAAGGGCTGGGAGCCTTGGTGAGCCCTGGTGTGTATGAGGGAAGGGGAAGGGCTGGGAGCCTTGGTGAGCCCTGGTGTGTATGAGGGAAGGGGAAGGGGAAGGGCTGGGAGCCTTGGTGGGCCCTGGTGTGTATGAGGGAAGGGGAAGGGCTGGGAGCCTTGGTGAGCCCTGGTGTGTATGAGGGAAGGGGAAGGGCTGGGAGCCTTGGTGAGCCCTGGTGTGTATGAGGGAAGGGGAAGGGGAAGGGCTGGGAGCCTTGGTGAGCCCTGGTGTGTATGAGGGAAGGGGAAGGGCTGGGAGCCTTGGTGAGCCCTGGTGTGTATGAGGGAAGGGGAAGGGGAAGGGCTGGGAGCCTTGGTGAGCCCTGGTGTGTATGAGGGAAGGGGAAGGGCTGGGAGCCTTGGTGGGCCCTGGTGTGTATGAGGGAAGGGGAAGGGGAAGGGCTGGGAGCCTTGGTGAGCCCTGGTGTGTATGAGGGAAGGGGAAGGGCTGGGAGCCTTGGTGAGCCCTGGTGTGTATGAGGGAAGGG